ATATCCGACTTAAAAATATCCGAAATACCCGATCCAAAATATCAAAGGGTCGGGCCTAGTATTTAAATTAAAAAACCCGAACGGGTTTAGGGTTCGCAAACCTGACCCGCCCGAACCCGACCCGTGCACCGCCCTAGTTAGATGTGTTAGTGGATGCTACTGGAGAGTGTATGCTAGTTGGATGCAAGATAACAATGGATTTGTTGTGAAAACGGTTGGTCCAGAACACTTGTGTGGAAGATCTCTAACAAATAGACAGGCAACTGTTGAAATGCTAGCCAAAAGATATTTGAACAAGTTTAGGGTAAACCCATCATGGCCGATCTCAGAGATGGAGGATGATTTGAGAAAAACATTTTGTTTGCTAGTTCCAACTCAAAAGTTATACAGGGTTAGGACAAGAGCATTACAGATTCTGAGAGGCACTTTAGAGCAGCACTACAAAAGGCTTAGGCCTTATATTGCAGAGATGCAAAGAGTAGACAAAGAAGGAACATTTGTGTATGAACCCATTCCTAATAGTAATAATGTGTTCAGAAGAATATATGTAGGTTTCTCGTCCTTACGGGAGAATTATTTAGAGGGAGGCAGACCTGTTTTTGGGCTTGATGGGGCATTCTTGAAGACTTTAATGGGAGGTTGTTTATCAGCTGCTGTTGGCCGTGATGGAAATAACCAGATGTTTCCATTAGCCTGGGCTGTAGTTGATGCTGAAAATGGAGATAATTGGAACTGGTTCTTGAGACTCTTCACACAAGACTTTAGAATTATTGATGGGCTGAGGTGGACTATCATTAGTGACGGTCAAAAGGGACTTTGCAATGCTATTGCAACTAATATGACTCAGGCAGAGCATAGACTATGTGCTAGGCACGTTTATGCAAATTGGAAGAAAAATTGGAAAGGTGATGAGTTAAAGAGTTTTTTTTGGATGGCTGTACAAGCACCAAATCATTCAGCTTTTGATAGCGTTGTAACACAAATGAGAGCGACTAACAAAGATGCATATGAAGAATTTATGGAAAGAAGTCCGGCCAAGTTTTGTAAGTCCTTTTTCCGGACTAATGTGAAATGTGATGCATCGGATAATAATATGTGTGAAGCATTCAATGGAACCATCTGTAGGGCAAGAACAAGACCTCTTATTAACATGCTTGAAGATATACGATGTTATGTGATGGAGCGGATATACAAGAAGATGCATTTGATGCAAAACAGTTCAGATTTAATATGCCCAAGGATTTCCTTCGCGTTGCGTGTGCATTCCATCCACAATAGGGCATTTCCAAGTAACCGAGGAAGATGATCAATATGGTGTGAATTTAAACCAGCGTACATGTGGGTGTAGGGGTTAGGACTTGAGCGGAATACCTTGTAGGCATGTCATTTCAAGCATTGCTTTCCTAAGAGATGACCCAACTAAGTACGTGGATACCTATTACACAAGGGAAACTCATTCTCTTACTTACTCTAGAGGGCTTCCGCCTCTGAATGGATATTTAATGTGGCCGGCAGTTCCAGGTTCTGACATCAAACCACCACCTCACAAAGTAATGCCTGGAAGGCCTAAGAAAAATAGGGCAAAATCGAAGGATGAGAGGTCAGAACTGCCACGAGATCCCAAAAAACTGCCCAAGACTAGTGTTAAGATGAAGTGTCGCAACTGCAATATGTATGGCCATAATACAAGAACATGTAAGCAGCCAAGAGAAATTAACATTGCTGCAACAACCAAGGTAATTGATTTATGTGTTTATTGTTAACTTTGAAATGTATTTGGTTTATGTCTCTATTTGATGGATGATAAAAAAATGTGTTGTCATAATGCATATTATATGAGGCGTATATCCTAAGAGTTTTTTTTATGTTTATAGAGATCGAGAGGTAGACCGAAGAAAACATCTTCTGCTACTACGCCATTTATGAGTACATGAGAAAAAAAGAAGGCAGTCCCACACCGTCAAAGGCCCAAACCTACTTCACAGTTTGATGGTGAGTTTGGAGTTGCTGCATCCCAACCAACTTCAAGTGGGCTAAGAAACACATTTTCTATGGCGGGTTGCTCACAGTGTGAAGGACGATCACTCCTAGAGAAAGCAACAAATTTAGAAGAAAAAAATGGAGGAAGTGGTTCCAAAGCAAAGGGTGCTTCAAAAAGAAAATGATGACTCACTAGTTATTTTTGTTTATGTGACAATGTAATCTTCATTTGAATGATAATCAGTTGTTACGGATGTGATGCACACTTTTAAGTGTTGTGACAATCTTTTACTTTGTTGTGTTTTAGAATGTTGTGTAGCGATATTTGAGACGTGATACTACATTTTTTACTTGAATGAATTAGTTGCAGTTTTCAGCAGTTTTTGAGCACTTTTCATCACTTTTTGTGCATTGCTTATGTTGCTGCAGTTACCAGTAGGTGTAAAACATGTTTTTCAGCAGCTTTTGAGCACTTTTCAGCAGTTTTTGTGCACTGCTTATGTTGCTGCAGTTTCCAGCAAGTGTAAAACTGTTTTTCAGCAGCTTTTGAGCACTTTTCAGCAGTTTTGTGCATTGCTTATGTTGTGCAGTTTCCAGTAGGTGTAAAACAGTTTTCAGGAGCTTTTATGCAGTTTTCGTGTAGTTTTCTGCAATTCCTTTGATGCAGCTTTTTCTGCAGTGTTGTTGTGCTAGTTTTCCTTTATTCTTTTGCTAATTTCCTGCATTTTTATGCTTTGATGCATCTTTTTTCAATGAAGTGCAGTTTTGCACTTTTACAGCTTCCAACAGAGATCAATTTGATCAATTTGTTATTGTTTCTACTTCAACATGTAGATTAAGCAGAGCTGTAGCTTTGTACTTTTGCTATTTTCCTCCATGTGTATGCTTTGATGTAGCTTTGAGAGAAACCAAAACAATACACATGTTAAAATGAATCAAAATACTACACTAGGGGCCTTCAAATGTACCATTGGACTGCTATAGATACGATACACTAAAAAATACGGAGTAGTAAGCAAAATATAAACATTTCTAGCCATTAATCCAAATCATAATCCAATAGTACATGAACTCTAATCAATAATAATACTTCAGAATTTCCATCCTTACATATACATGAGTCTATATCGATATGATGAAACAAACTCATCTGTGTAACGCCATACAACACTAACATAAGGAACACGATCTTTATCCAGTTCATGCTTGTGTGCTTTCTTTCAAACTCTCTTATGCCCGCCTTTCTGTCTTGGTTTTCATTTTTTATGTGGATCACATGAGCTCTCATTTCTCTACCAAGATCATCAATATGTTCTTTCAGTTGCTTCACATCCATATTCAGTGCTTCAACATTTTTCTTCATTACATCCTCCACCCATTTAAAATATCCACAGTCCATATGTTTCACCTGAAATATTTCTTTGAGACATTTTGTCAAACACCTGCGGGCTAAAGTGAAGATTAAATAAAAGTATATAGAATGAACAGGGACAGACACATACCAACGAAAACTTGCACCTGTAAAACGTTTTCCCAGGATTTCTTTGCGTATTTGACGTCTCCTGGGAGTTTCTAAAATTCCTGAGAGACTTGGACTGTCTCCTCCAACTACGGTGGCGGCGTCTCAGGCGAGAGACGGCGGAGGCAGCAGTTAGGTCCGGCGGTACGGCTCTTCTTCTCCAGCGCAGCACTCCGCCACTCCGTCTTCTCCAGCGTGATGTCGATCCAGTTCATAGCTCACCGTTCGAAGGTCAGCAGCAGCAGCACATCAGTTGTGCTGGGTTCTCCTTCGGGCTACGAGATGCGTATCAGTCCTGCGATGAAGAACTCTCAACCTAACAATCCAACCAGCCCTCACTTTATCTTTTAAACTATCTCAGCTTTCTTACGTGTGGGATTTGATGAAGTGGACAATGATTCATTTGCCACTTCATCAACTAACGGACAGAAATAACTTGGCTAAACGGAAAGTGGTATTGCAGGGGAAACACATAGTTTGAATCTTTTTAAGATAAAATTAAAAGATGAGGATATATTTGTGAATTTTAAGAAAGTTGAGGATATATTCAGCCAATAAGTCTAAAATATATATATATTAGACTAGTTGTGCTACACGAGTATAATTTAATAGCACTATGTTTTTATGTAATATTACTTAGACTAGTTGCGCGATAGAATGATGCCCAATAATAATACTTTGTACACGAGTATGACTTAATAGCACTATGTTTTTATGTAATATTACCTCCGGTTTTATTTAATCTTCACACTTTGACTTCACACAAAATAAGGAAAGAAATTTGACTTTACTGTAGAGTACACTGTTGAGGCACTGTTTGACATTGTTTGGCACTGTTTTGATGTAGATTTCTTTGCCAAAAAAGGAAATAAGAAAGTGTGAAGTTTATTTTAGACCGTCCCAAAAAGGAAAGTGTGAAGTTTATTAAAAACCGGAGGGATTATTTTCTTCTAAATTCACTAATGCTAACAAAATCATCTAGATAAAATAACATTTAATTTTAAAGAAGTTGTAATCTTCAATCAAAATGATTTAAAACATAAATTCAATAGGGGAAAATACATTTGTGAGTAGCAAATACATACATGCGATGTAAATTAAACTAAGAATTGAAAAAGGTTTAATTTTAACAAAAAAATAAAACACTCGCGTAAGCAAATTAAGGGAGTGTTTGCAATTGCTTCAACTTTAAAATTGGATTTTTTAAAGTGATTTTGGGAAAAGTGATTAATAGTAAAAGTTGGTAGTGTTTGGTAAAATAAGTACTTTTTGTGTAATAGAAAAAGTGAGAAGCAGTTTAAAGCACCCTTCTACCTGCTTCCAGCTTTTAGCTTTTAAGTGATTAATTAATTTAAGCAGAAGTTGTCATTTGAAAACACTCTTTTCAACTTTTTTAAGCCAAAAGCTGAAAAACGCTTTTTTTAAGCAAACCCAAACACTCCTTAAATTGGGTTTTTGTCTTGAATATTACTAATAAAAGGGCAATAGGCAAAAAAGTGACCTTTTTTAAAAATTCCTGAAATATGACTAATAAGTGACAAGCTTGCTTATACATACACACTGCCACAGTGACACGCTACAGTGACACACTACAGTGACACGCTACAGTGACATGCTACAGTGACATGAGACACAGTGACATCCACCCTCCTTGCCACCACCTCCCACCGGTGACCATCGCCACCACCGGAGACCGTCGCCGGCCATAGTGACAACGACCATAGTGACACAATAGTGACGCTGTCACTACCTAGTTAATTTTTCAGTGACGCCACCCGCCAAAAGTTACTCCGGCCGCTACCACCGCCCTGTCACTATGATCACCGGAAAATTTTCCGGCTCCTTGTCTGGCGCCACACCGCCAACAACAACTACTACGGCAGTCCCGCTGTCCAGCCCAAGCCTTCAAACTCTTCGTTCACCAACCCCCAGCCCTCAACCTCAAAACCTCCGACCACCGCCGCCCCCAATGACCCACCAATAATGCTTTGACCTGCCCCCAACCTTAGTCCCAACCCTTTCCCCTGCCCCAATCCCCTCCCCTGCCCCGCCCCAGCTCACTCCCCCGTGCTTTGAGCTGCCCCCAGACCTAGCCCTAACCCCCTCCCCTACCCCAATCCCCTCCCCTGCCCTCCCCAGCTCACTCCCCCAGCTCCGGTTCCGAACAGCCCAACATCGACACACCCCTTCCCAGCCCCGCCTTCAATAGCCCAGCGTAGCACATCCCTGACGAGCCTCCACCTCAGCCTAGCCGCCACCCATCCTAGATCTGGTTTGCTCGCTTTCTGGTTGCCACAGATCTGGTAATCCGTAATTCATCCATCCATCCGAGGCGAGGCAAGGCGGAGGCGGCCTGTGAAACAAAGCTATACGGCGAGGCTACGATGAAATGAGGCAACCCGTGCGGTGAGGCAAGGCGGTTTGTACGGCGAGTGTAAGGTGCGGCGACTGCCGAGGCTGAGGTGAGGAGCCGAGGTAGAGACGAGGCCGGAGGTTTGGCACAACAAGGAAGATGCGCAGAGAAGAGGCGGACGATTTTGCGTAGAGAAGAGGCGGAGGATTTTGCAGAGAGATGAAAATGGGTAGAGAAGAGGCGAAGAGAAGATGATGAGCTGGGAAGAAGTGCCCAGGAAAGAAACGGGAGAAGAAAGACGGATCCGGTTACTTTTATGTCTAGCCATATAATTCTCATATTTTTGACCATCATAACTCCCCTAATTATATTGGTGCCATTCTTTCAATTAAATTTACAAATTACATACATTAAGAGTGCTTGAGATAAAAATTGATCTTTTCCAATTAAATTAACATACAATAAAATCACAAATCATGAGCTTCACGATCTACAAATTACATTTTAAATGTAGAGCCCGTTCGGTGAGCCCGTTTTTTGACTTATCATCAAGATCAGACCAGATCAGACTTGGATAGTTATAAAAATACAAAGAAATCAGACCGAACTAGTTCAGACTAGACCAAACCAGACTAGACCAGCAAATTGCAGTCCAGGTAAAAACATCCTAAGAAAAAGTAAGGTTGTAATTATTTTTCCTGCTGTATTGGCTGAAGTTATTGTACAAGATCATTTTAGCTATTTTTCATACGGAGTATAACTTTTTATTTATTTTATTAATAAAATATATTTTAAATACTTTTTCATAAATTAGTAGAATTAGCCAATACAGCCACTTCAGCCAGAACTTCATAAATTTCGGCAGGATCGGCCGATTTCAGTGTTACCAAACATAAACATGAAGTATAACATAAACTGATTTCGTATACATATGCATGGTCACAAGTTTTTTATGCTTATTAGCAAGAAAACACATGAGAGGTGATGATAGTATGCCCAACTTAAGGGAAAAGGTGCAAATAGGCCCATGTACTAACCAAAAAAGGTCAAATAAGCCCTTATTTAGAAGGATCTGTCCGGCCGTCGTCATTTGGGGTGGTTCCCGGTGGATTTTTTTGATGAAATTTTTTGAGCATCTTATTCATCAAGTCTAGTTTACTCATACCAAATTTCAGCTAAAACTTCAATCGGGAAAGCATTCAAATGAATTCTTGAAGATAACTGCGCTTCTAACTGTGCAGTTATTTTCAAGAATTCATTTGAATGCCTTCCCGATTGAAGTTTTAGCTGAAATTTGGTATGAGTAAACTAGACTTGATGAATAAGATGCTCCAAAAATTTCATCAAAAAATTTCACCGGGAACCACCCCAAATGGCGACGACAGGACAGAGCCTTCTAAATAAGGGCTTATTTGACCTTTTTTTGTTAGTACATGGACCTATTTGCACCTTTTCCCCCAACTTAAATATCTTTAAAAGGTTATCGCAACTTATGGAGTGTTTTCAATATTTAAAAAAATCAACTTTTGGCTTTAAATCACTTTTTCTATTAAATAGAATTCTTTTCCAACCAATACCAACATTTACCTGTTCAAAAGTAGTTTTATTCAAACACTCCAAACTTTTATTATTAAACACTTTTTCAAAAATCACTTTTAAAAAATCATTTTTTTGCAAGAGAAAAAAATCATTTTTTAAATAGAAGGCTGGAAACTAGAGAATTTTGCAATCTTGGCATTCCATGACCAGTTAAACAATTTATCAAACTAAAAAATAAACTATGATAAAAAAAACTAAAAAACAAACTCAGTTCACTAACATTATACGGAGTACTACTAAGTGATTAAAGCTCATTTCCTATAATGGCAATAGCAATTACGTAGTGGGAGTATGACTTATGAGGAATTGCCTCATTTATAGGCTTAAATGAGATGCATGTAACGGAGATCAAACGGAAACTATAGCAATGAAAGGTTTTAACTTTAATGAGCAACATAGATAGCATAGAGTACAACTAAGTATTGCATTATGTTACACCAACACATTTGACATTTCTAAATAGCCCTAAACTTCATTCACCTTTATAAGTTTGTAGAGATGTAGAGATAGAGATGTAGAGATACGTAGTACTATCGTACTCCGTATTTAGGAATTTGAAATTTGCAAACAACATAACTTACTTGAATCAAATTGATAAAAAAAACAAAAGGCATACGGTTACAATGTTGATTCATCTTGCTAACGTTAAAACATTAATGCCGTAATGTCATTTTTGTCCATCTGAAAAATAATGTACAACCGTTTGAATGTAAATATGTAAGGGAAAATGGAAACTAATAATCCAACTTTTTAGCGGTATTCTTTCAATAATCCCACCTTTTGATTATTCATGAATAATCCAACCTTTGCACCTCATCTTCATTCATTGGTCCCTGGTCGGTTAATGACCTACTATTCCAAGTTATTTTCTTATCTCTCCAAAATATTATCTTCGTGAAAGATGAGATTTATGGTATAATGATTTGCAAAGATAAGAAAATAGCTTGGAATAGCAGGTCATCAACCGGTCAGGGACCAATGAATGAAGATGAGGTGCAAAGGTTGGATTATTCATGAATAATCAAAAGGTGGGATTATTGAAAGAAGACCGCTAAAAGGTTGGATTAATAGTTTCCATTTTCCCAATATGTAATGTATAACAATACATGCACATAAATATTGACACAATTGAAGGGTACAAGCTATCATTCACAATTATAAAGTTCTCGAAATAGGACTAAAAAAGTTTGAAAATTACAAAATAGGACTGTCATGTTTTTATTCTCAAAATAAGAGTAATTACTGTCATGTTTGGAAAATACTGCCATGTTTGAAGTCTGGTACTGCCAAAACATGACAATAATTAGTCCTATTTTAAGAATAAAAACATGGCAGTTTTATTTTGTAATTTTCAAACTCTTTTAGTCCTATTTCGGGTAATATCTCTAAGTTTTTATAGGAGTATATTTTAGGATTAGGATGTGTGATTTGAAATGATTATTACTTATTCTTAATTCTTTAACTCAATATTATCCGCTAATGTTTGTGAGGTTGTATGAAACACTTGCGACAAAATCAATACAGCGCGGCACTCTTCTAAAAAAGCCATCATCTTTTTGACTCAACTCTGACTGCAATTCTGATCCCTCCTTTTCAGTCGGTCGATCGTCAGCAATGGCGGCATCGGTGGCTCCGCCGTCCGTTGAAGAGAAAAGAATCGAGGTATCATCATTTCCGATACTACTTTCCGAGCAAATTAAGGATGCCGTAAAGGAAGCAGACTCATTCAAATTGGAGTGTTTCGAGATCGGCAAACAAGTCGACCGTCTCTCTCAGATGCTCCGCGCCGTCGCCTATCTCTGTACATCCACATCTGGCTCTGTGTATGAGAGGCCGATCAGAAGGATCGTCATGGAGGTGTCGAAAAATCTCGAACGGGCACTAACCCTAGTCCGGAAGTGCAAGCGGCGAAACGTCCTCCGCCGCGTTGTCACCATCGTGTCGGCCGCCGATTTCCGGAAAGCTCTCAGCCACCTCGAGTCTTCTGTGGCCGACATGAAGTGGCTGCTTAATATCTTCGACGGTGAAGGCGGAGCCGGAGGTATTGTTTTATCCCTCCCCCCTATTGCCAGTAACGATCCGATTGTCTCCTGGGTTTGGTCTTACATTTCATCTTTACATTTGGGTCAATTGACTGATAAAATCGAAGCCGCAAATGAATTAGCTTCTTTAGCTAAAGATAACGACAGAAACAAAAAGATTATTGTCGAAGAAGGTGGGATTTCACCTTTGTTAAAGCTATTAAAGGACAATTCTTCCCCGGAAGCTCAAGTGGCAGCATCCACGGCATTGTTTAATATAGCAAACGATGAAGAAAGGGTTCGAGCTATCATTGATCAGCTGGGGATACCAATTATTGTTCAAGTGCTGGGAGATTCCCCTATGAGGGTTCAAATCTGGGTGGCGAATTTAGTGGCAAGGATGGCAGAATATTCCCCACTAGCTCAGGAAGATTTTGCAAGGGAGAATGTGATCAGACCTCTTGTCACATTGCTGTCACACGGCATCCTTATGGATGATCTGAAATCGAAAGTTGGGAAACAAAGCATTCACTCCATTGTACAAATTAATAAGGAAATGGAGAGAAAAGCATCATCAGGATCCTACAGTTACAAGCAGCGAACTCTGGGATCACCACTGTCACGACACTTTTCCGATGGAAGCAGCCGTGGTGGTGGGAATAACAGGAAGGAAAGAGAGAATGAGAAGGCTGAAGTGAAACTGCAGTTAAAGGTTAGCTGTGCAGAGGCATTGTGGATGCTCGCCAAGGGGAGTGTTTCAAACAGTAAAAGGATAACTGAAACTAGAGGTTTACTCTGTTTAGCTAAGCTTGTTGAGACAGAACAAGGGGAATTGCAATTAAACTGCTTGATGACAATAATGGAAATAACCGCCTCAGCGGAATCTAATCCTGACCTTAGAAGGTCTGCTTTCAGGATAAATTCCCTCGCTGCAAAGGCCGTTGTTGATCAACTACTACATGTGATTAAAGAATCAAACAGTCCCAAAATGCAAGTTTCAGCAATTCGGTCAGTCGGTTGTCTTGCTAGAACATTTCCTGCAAGAGAGGTTCGGGTGATTGGGCCTTTAGTTGAGCAACTGAGTAACAGAAATCTAGATGTGGCTGCAGAAGCTGCAAATTCACTTGGGAAGTTTACATGTCCTGAAAACTTTTTACGTGTGGAGCATTCAAAGACGATAATTGAATTCAATGCCGTCCCCGCTCTTCTGAGACTGCTGAGAGGGAATGAGCGGTCTCAGTTCCACGGATTTGTTCTCCTATGCTACCTCTCTGTGCATGCTCGCAATAATGATGCTTTGGATCAACCCCGAGTTCGGACTGCCCTCGAGGGGGCGGACCGGACATTGTTTATCCAGCATCCTGAGTTGAGAGAATTAATGTCAACTGCGACATACCACCTCGATATTTATCACTCTGGATTGCTTCTTCCTCAGCGTCAGTCTTTTTCTCCTTAGCATTTGTTTTGGAGCCCCTGGGTAATGGGGATAGTGTAAAGTTGCACTAGTATTATACATAAAAATATAGATTTATGTATCAGAAGGCTTTGTCGGTGTGTACTTAAAGTTTGTGTTGATACACTAGTTTACTCGTGTTTCAGGGGAGTGGTGCATTTTTGTGAGGGGCAGAAATAAGTGTTCCTCCGGTCTTAAATAAATGTAACGGTCAACATTTTACACTTGTCGAGACACAATTTTGACCATTAATATATATAAATTTATATTAGTAAAAGAATTTAAAAAATTAGATATTGAAAATTTACAATGAGACAAATTTAACAATATTTTTTCCATAAAAATATATTCATACATTAATAAATAAAACGTAGTCAAAGTAGAACATATGAATAGTGTAAAATTCAATATGTTACATTTATTTAAGAATGGAGGTAGTATTACTTTTACAGTTGTAATTAATAATTTTTGGAGGACAGTTGTGAATGAATGAAAAGATTTTGGTTCGGGTGAGACATAATTAAATACTCCCTACAAAAGAGTAGGTTCTTTTTAGCAAATTATACCATGGAGATTGTTATACTGTTCTTCTCTTCGGCCGTGTTTGGGAAACGGCGGATCAGCAGTTTTTTGGCGTTTCAATCAATATTGGCGTTTTGATTTTGGTCAAACCGCTAAATCAGGCATTTGGTAGACAGTGGAGGGGAGCAGCGTTTTTGTTCCAAAACACCAAAACTCAAGACGCTGATTAGAGCAGCGTTTGAGTTCGGCGGTTTTGCATAATCTGCACAAAAGTCCGTTTAGCCCTTAGTCGGTGGAGAACGGGAGACTGCAATATTGCTGATGCACTTGGAGAAAGATCCGGTGAAATGGGTGAAGATTAATGGAGATGTATGATAATTGTTAAATTATTTGCGTGTATCTGTTCTCCCACCCGAAGAAGAAACGAATACAAGTTAAACTACAGGTTAAATGATTTTCTATCTGTTCATTGCATAGAGCCAAAGAGGTATCGAATACAAATGTTGCTGCAGTAGTGGGTGGACTTGATATATGGTCAGATGCCTTATTTTGGTCTTTTTTTTGCTTTGGTCTTTATTTTTTTTCTTCTTTCTCATTGATTACTTTTTTGATTTTATTAAAAGCCTTAATGAAGTCTATTTTCTCATCTATAGTGTTGCACACTCCACTCATCATTCCAAATAATTATCATTCTTATGTTTACTTTAGTTTTTTCATTATCAAAAGCAAACATATTTCCAAATAATTATTTTAATTTAGGAACAATGAATCAATGATATACCTATTACAATTTTGAGATTGAGTTTTCATCCTTTCAAAAGAAATTATTTATGTTTTTTTTCTATCTTAGTCCTTATTCATATACTTTTCTTTTGCTTCAACTTAAATTACAATAAAAAAATAAATTATTTTTTCTTCAAAATAAATAATTTTATATTTTATAGACTTGTGTGATTTATATTTCAACATGTGTGAGTTGTGTTTATAGAAAATTCCTGGAATTACATTTGATAGTATATGAAGTTACATCTTAAGCGCGAGTTACATCTGTTTATGCGTGAGTTAAATCTTAATGTACGCAAGTTACACCATGACATAAACTCTACTAGTGATCAAACAATGATTTTTTAACTATATCAATTTTTATAACCCTAATATTAAAAAAATGTATTCACTATTTACAAAAAGTAATTGAGCAATTAGGATCAGCTAATTCATTCTTCAGATGCACGCCTTTGAGCAAGTTACATCCTGCTTACACATGATTTACATTTTTCATAATGCGGGTTACATCATAATGATTTACATTTGAATACATTGTATTTACATTTAATAATAGCACGAGTTACATACCAAAACAAATGATTTACATCACGAAAAAAATGGAGACAAATGCCTGAATACTGTTCACGCGAATTTTATCCTTGGGAGTACGGTGCTCACCGTGCACCGGTTGCACGGTATACAGACTACAGTCAAAACCGCTGACACAACCCGCTAACAGATTACCAAAGAAGCCCTTCTTCTCTGCACTATGATGGTTTCTCGTTTTGCTTCAATTTTATGATTTCTTCTTCTTGATTTCTGAAATATCATCCCCAGTTGCTATTTCAATTAACCCAAGTACAACAAATGTTGTGTTGTTCTTTACTATTTGAAGTAGAAATATCAAACAACAAAACTTAAATGAGCACAAAATTAATGATATTATGAACATATTGAATCTCTGTTTCCTTTATAAAAAGAAAAGTTTAGTGTAGTGTCCATAAATTCGTCCATGTTTTTCTAGAAGAGTCAATAACTTTGTCGAACCTATAGAGAAGACAATACATTTTTATATATCCAAAAAATAAAATTAATAGGGTTCAATGAAAAAGTTAGAAATTGTACTTGCATCATGGAAAATGGGGAAATTTGCAATTTTCATTCCGTAACTTTGGGTCGTTTTCATTATTAGTCCGGTAAGTCGATAACTCTAGGCACTTGCAAATTTAGTTCTGTAACTAATAAACCTTTGCGATTTAAAGACTTCTCCCTTGAAAAGTACACTTTAAGGCGATAGTATATTGGAAAAGATGATGGTGGCGTCATTTTTTTGCCGGAAAGTGTGCTTTTCCGTGAAAAAAATTCTTGAATTGCAAAAAAATATTAGTTACATAACCGGTGATTAAATTCATAGGATCCGATAACGGCTGAAAGTTACGAGAATAGAATTGCAAATCTCGAAAATGCATACCAATGAATTTGCCAGATTTTTTATCATAAATTGTCTTAAATAGGAGTAAAAACGTTTTCAAATTCCAAAATAGTAGTATCATGTTTTTTATTTCCTAAATAGGAGTAATCTGCCAAGTTTGGAAAAAATGCCAAGTTTTAAAGCTTTGTAATGCCAAACTTGGTAGAAATTTACTCTTATTCAGGGAATAAAAAACATGATACTCGTATTTTGGAGTTTTTTTTGCTTCCAGGGAATTCTCTCATTTTTTATTTGTACATTTGTATGGTGGCAAATCAAGAACCGATAATCCTGACTCTCGACCGTCATCTTGTTGTCTTTGGCTGTTCATGAATACTAGTATGTGACCCGTGCGATGCACGGGAAAAATAGTCTCTTGGTTGATGTTGCCTTCGTCCCGTTATAAGGTTCCCACTTACTTTTATTGGACGTTTTATTAGATGGTTCTCATTTCCATTTTAGGAAATAATTAACCATCTTAAGTGAAAAATTACTCATTAAATGTTAAAAATAATACATTTATAACATCACAGTTATCAATACTAACTACATTATAATGTATATCTATTCAAATTATTTCTCAAAATATACTCGAAGTAGTTTATTTAATTATCACCTAAATAACAGTGTCATTTTGCTATGGGAACCTTCCAGCGGGAAGGATGTAGTATATGAATTTCATGAACTAAAATGTTAATAAAAGATTAATAATCGTAGAAGAAACGCATAATACATGCATGATATAACACAAAACCAACATCTAGTTGATATAATGAATACAAACGCAAAACAAAAGAGATAACATAAAAATGTAGAATAACATGTTTTGAAAAATTAGGATGAGAAGTTACTCTTATTTAGAAGCCGTTTGGTAACACTGTTTTTCGGCTTATCAGACTTATCGGTCCCTTTTTTTTACCAAACACATAATTTTTGTTTTCGCGCGCTAAATTGTGTAATAAGCAGAAAAAATAAGGTTGAAGTTACTTTTCTGGCTGTATAGGCTGAAGTTACTGTAGATGACCATTTTAGTTATTTTAACATACTCGTATAATTTTTTCTTCATTTTATTAATAAAACATATTTTAAAAATTATTTTTTCTTAAATCAGCAAAATCAGCCGATGCAGCCACTTCAGTCATAACTTCATAAATTTCAGCAGAATCAGCTAAATCAGTCGATTTTCGTGCTACCAAACGGGCTCTTACAGAATTTAAAAATTAAACCCATATTCTTGCAAGAAAAATCAAAATGGCCAAACATCTTGGGCCAATATAAATTTCAGCCCAATGCAAGCAAACGTAAATCTCTTTTGATGTATTCTATACTGCGTATATTCAGCTGTAAATAGATCAAGCTCAGAGGGTGCTGTTGTGGTTCGTTCTTCTTTCATTCTCTTATTTAGTGATTGATTTTGTGTTTTTATTGTCAATTGTATGAAGGTGAAGGTTTTTTAATTCACATTTTCTGCACTGGACCATTAATTTGTACGGAGCATTTAACTTCTTTGAAACACCGTCAATTTATCTTTGCAACATTTATCTTTGAATTGTATTTAATTTCTTTGAAACACTTGTCAATTGAATCATTTACTTTACTGGTTTTATGTGTTTTATGTTATTTATATCCACGTGATGGATATAAATAACATTTAAATTATACGGAGTAACTTGTTTAATTTTTTGAATTATAAAATAACAGCCTCAAATATTTTTCTGTATCTACGTGGTTAGTCTAAATGTTTACAAACTTAGCTCAAGTAGTCAAGTAAATTACATAGATACCCCTTTCAGCTTTTTCTCTTTTTACGCACATAGCCTAGCTTCCTTCTTCCTCTTTGCTATTCCTTTTAGTGTCCCTTCATTTTGCGGATTCCCCTCTATCACGATAGGGCACCAAATTATAAGAAGTATTATCCAAAACGTAAGAAAAATTACTCCGTAACAAATACTTCCTCCGTTCTTTTTTAGTTGCAACAGTCAACATTTAATATTTGTCAACGCACGTCTTTGACCGTAATTATATCTTAATCTCTATTAGTAAAAAAATTAAAAATCGGATTTTGAAACTTTGTAATGAGATGAATTGAACAATATCTTTAAAAAAAAATCATAAAATAATAGCGTAAAATTTAGTCAAAGTAGAGTCTGTGAATAGTGTAAAATTTAGTCAAAGAAACGGAGAATAGTAAGAGTTTACCTTAACATGGGACGTCTCTCTTTGCATTTTCTTCTGAAATGCAGTCCTCATTCAGTTTAAACTTTAAAATGGTAAAGTAAAATCCTCACTTTTCTATGAACCATTATTTGGCACTTGAGCTAAGCACATCACTTTCTATTCTACCAAATTCATGTCTATAGGAAACCCATCACCGTGCTTCTGTTCAATCGTGAATATGCTTGAAAACGCTTAAGTTGACTACTCTTTAAGTAATAAAATAGTCCTACCTGATTTATCTTTTCCTGCCAGTTTTTGACAAATTCAGCTATTTTTTAAGTTCTTGGCCTGCATTATTCAAACATAAATGTTGCATTTAAAATACTGTCCACACTGCAAGTATTATTATCATACTCCCTCCGTCCCGAAAAGTTCGCCAAATTGACTTTTCTTGGTTAATGAGAATCAACTTTGACTAATGATATTTTTTAATACCAATTTAATTTGAATATGAAGATTATATCAAAATGTTCTTATAATTAAAATGATTGTCCAAAATTTGTCATCATTGACCAATAAAAGTTAATATGGAAAACCTTTTCGGGACGAAGGTAGTATTTACTATTGATAAGTATATACATCCGTTAAGTGTGTACTACACTTAAAAAAATACAGATGTAAAGTGTTTTTGTTCACATATTACTTACTCTGTACGTAGTATTTAGAGAATCCATTTTTAGAAACTATAATTAATTTAATAAACCATCATCTTAGTTTTTTACGTACTGAATTAAGAAAATGAAAATATTGAAATCATCTTAGTTTTTTTTTTTGAAATCATCCTCACTTGGTAGACTCCATTCTTTCCCATTATTTGCAAACGAAGAGTACCAGAAATTATTTCTAGTCTCAACACCATTATTTCCCCAACTACCCATAATTAACCCAGCCTTATTAAAACAAAAGCAACGTAAAATTGTACTAACCGGGACACAATTGTAAATTATTGCAGCAACTGTTGTAGAACATTTTTATGAATTCATTCTGAAATAGGGATTCAATTGTAACAATATATATATCGGAAATGTTAAATGTAATCGTCATTGAATGTACCTCTATATCATGATAAATGCACTCCAATGCTTTAGTCATGTTATTTTCGAGAAGCTGGACTTCAGCATACACACACCGTAACAGCAGTCTCACTGGTAGATCGACATTTGTAGTGCCCGGTTCATCTTAGAGATTTTCAGCTCTTAGACTCGATCTATATAGAATAATAGAACAACATCATAAGTTATCCATGACAAACTAACAATTATTCAAATTATTATGTAATACTACTACGTAACTCAGATAGCTAAACAAAATATTTGACGCTACAAAAAACTAAAGTAGGTGAAAACACTACTCAGTATTATTGAATAGTTGGAGTTTCACGTATAAAAGTTTTCCCAATTAAGCTGTGATGATGGCTAAAGAAGGCAATTTATAGTTTAATGAGCCCCATTTTTACAGGGATGTTCGTGGAAACTGTCTGGGGTAACCACCATTACGTGCAAGATGGAAACGGCAATCCTGAAGTTTTGCTGGCACGTGTATCCATTGATCATATTTAACATGTTATGCTTTTTGTAGTGCGTGTATCTGATCTTCTACATTTTTGAGAGGATTGCCACGTGGTTTCTAATCGCAATGTGTTGCTTCAATAACTACTCCGCATAATGTAATTCATTTGTGCTTCGGTAAGTTCTAGGCGGGAACAGTTTTGTTCACACGATCGAGTTTTTATATATATAAAGATTGTTGTACTTCATTGTTTCTAGATGGAGTTGGAATTCTGCGCCGATCTATTTTCAATAGCAAATTGAAAATTATAAATACTTAAAATTTCAATCCGAGAAGGATGGAAATGCGACTGTTAGGGAACTTCCATTGTAGATTCCCCGCAAAATTGACCTCTGCATTTTTATGGCAAACTCTCAACATTTTTTCTCTGTCTTTCAAAAGGTTTATCTTTTCTTCCCGTTCTTCTTCCCTCAACACTTATTTTCGTACACCAGTACATCTGCACTTACTCCAATCTCCCTCTTTTCTCTGTTCATGCGAGGACCTCCGAACTCTCAAGCAAATCCAAGCATCTCTAATCGTTTCATACGGGCATAGCATTGATGCTGCTGCTGTTTCAATGCTGGGAAGTTTATATGCAAAGTTTGAGGAAATTCAGCATGCCCTTTTCCTTCTCTGTTCTTTACAAGGACCCTGTACACATCACTGGAATCAGGTTATAAAGACCTGTGTTGATTTGGGTATGGTTGAGTCTGCTTTTTTTGTTTACAATGGAATGAGAGAGAAGGGTATCTTGCACGATAATTACACATTTCCGATATTAAACAGGGCTGTGGCAATGAGTTGCGGTAAGGATTGGTATGGCAAGTCCATTCACGGGTTGTCTTTTAAAATGGGTTTTGATTTGGACATTTATTTCTGCAATACGTTGATTGAGAGTTGTACCAAGACTAGGGGGCTTGTTGATGCTTTTCAGGTGTTTGAAGAGATGCCTCAAAGGGATTTGGTTTCTTGGACTTCAATAATTTCGGGATTTCTCTCTGAAGGTGATTGTTTTGAAGCATTCAACTTGTTCAGAGAGATGAAAAAAGAGATTCTACCTAATTCAGTGACAATTATAGTTGTCTTGAAAGCATGCCCAAGCCTTGTGGAATGTACACAGGTTCACTGTTATGTGATTAAATATGGATTCTTGATTGATGTATCGATTACCAACTCCATTATGAAGAGCTACTCTAACTTTTTTAGTGTCAACGAAGCAGAGGCTCTTTTTTGTGAATTAGAAAAAGTAGATGTCATTTCTTGGAACATTATGATTTCTTTGTATTCCTTGAGAGGAGAGATTGAGAAAGTGACATGTTCTTTTAGTGAAATGAGGGATGATGTCGGACCCAGTGTTGAGACTTTAACAACCTTAGTTTCTGGGCTTTCAAATGGTGGGTGTCTTTCCACAGGAAGCCAAATACATTGTCTTTCTCTAAAAAGTAGACTATTGGATGATATCTTGAAATGTTCTTTGTTGAGTTTTTATGGAAAGTGTAGTAACATGGAGGGTTCAACTAAGTTGTTTGACGAAATACCTCACAAAAACTGTGTGGTTTGGAGTGCAATGATGACCAGTTTCACAGACAATGGTCATTTTATAGAGGCTATTAAGTTATTCCTTAAAATGTTAGTTTTGGGTAACAAGCCGGTCTCAGAAAACTTTGAGAACCTCGTTATTGCTTATACAAATATGGGTGCTTTGCAACTGGGAAAAGGAGTTCATGGATACCTTATAAGGAACTCACTCTATATTAGCAAAACTCTAAAGACCTCGATCTTGAACATGTACATAAAATGTGGAAAAATCTCCTCTGCAAGAATCTGCTTTGATGAAATGGCATCATCCAGAGACGTGGTGATGTGGACATCGATGATTGAAGGGTATGGGACCCATGGACTAGGTTCAGAAGCAGTCCGCTTGTTCCGCGCCATGGTAGAAGATGGACCTGAGCAGCCAAACAGTGTGACTTTTCTAAGCTTGTTGTCTGCTTGCAGTCACTCTGGCCTTTTGACTGAAGGTGTTGAAATCCTTCACTCAATGAAAACGAGGTTCAAGGTTGAACCTGATTTGAATCATTACACTTGCATTGTTGATCTATTGGGACGGCTGGGTAAGGTTAAAGAGGCCCTAACCATGGTAATGAAACTGGCCGTTTTACCAGACAGCAGGGTTTGGTCTGTCCTCCTTTCTGCTTCTTTGCGAGGGTGTAACTGTCAGAAAGTTGCAGATTATGCTTGTCAAAGGATCATGGAATTGGATTCTGAGAATGCTGGATACTACACTTTGTATAGCAATGTTCAAGCTAGTGCTGAAAGGTGGGATGGAGTTGAATGTATAAGACGTACCATGAATGAAAGGTTTCTAGTAAAGAAACCAGGCTGGAGCTGTATAGAAGCTTGATGGGTTGTTCCCGGGCTGGAGGAGTTGATTTCTAAGTAGGAAAGTGTATGATTAAGGCTTTAATGGTTTGATTTATATATAACATATTTCACACATTATTGTTTGATAATTTTTGCATTCTTTATTATAACGGGAAAGCTCATTTCTCCCTGAAAATATGCGTGCCTGGGTTGTGTTCCCTCCCTGGTTCTTCAGTAAGAGTACTGGCAAAGTTCTTGAGGTATAGCCGTATAGTTTATTAGTTTCTCATTACATTTAAGTGACACTGAGTGTCACATAATATAAGATTTTCCAATCATCTCTCGCCTTAAATACTAGCAATAGGCTTTACAAGATAGTGGATGATAGCTTCATAACTTGTTATTATTATTATTATTATTAGTATTATTATTTTAATATATTTAAAACCTGGTGTGGCAGATGACCACATCTTTAGTTTACATCATGCATATGCACAAGAATCATATGATGCCACTGCTTTGCATTGTCAAATGGATCAAATCCATGTGTTGGTCTCCAAAGAGAAAATCCCAAACCAGCTTGATTTTATTGCAAGCATTTTTATTTTTACACTTTTCTCTTTGTAGATGCCAGTTCAGTTATACACTTTTCTCTTGTTTGTCATCCTCTAGAGCTATTTTCATAAAACTAACTAACTAAGTAAAATGCTATAATTCAGTGTACAGACATTCTGCAAGGATTTTTCTTTGGGCAACTACGGACCCAAAAGTGACTTAAAAAGAGTTGTATTTTGTTAGAGTTTAGTCACACTATAGTTGATGGAGTGTGTGTGGGGGGGGGGGGGGGGGTGTTCATCTGATACTTAGGGCCTGTTTACTTGTAACTTAATGGACTTAATGGATATTGTGTATTAATCATTCAGCTATATATGGATGTTTACTTGTGACTTTTTAAAAAAATTGACTTATTCGCGCAGACGTTGGATAACTTAATCGTTCAGCTAAATTTTAGCACTTCTTCCGATTCAGACGTGTATGTGTGGGAGGAGTCTCTTTTTTAACCCTTCTTCTTCGTTCGTTTATTTCACCGCTCCCCTCACAATTCTCTCTTCAACCCTACGAACTTCAGCGATTGGAGTACCCCACGAAGCTATCACGAAAGCAGCAAAGAGGAATCCCATCCCCTACCTTCTTCATCTTCATATTTCCTCTGAATTTATATCTGTTTTATATTTTTGATCTTTTTTTAAATTGCGGCTCTTCTCCTTATCCACAATCTGATTGTTCTCTTCGTAAATAGTATTCTTTCGATTTTAAGATATAATATCGCTATATGTATGTTATGTTGCTTTTCAATTGTGAAATTAAAATCGATGTTTAAGCTATGCCATTGAAGACCACGATGCATCAAACACCTTATACTTCGTATTTTGATATTCGATTGAAAATCAGGTGGCTTAAGATTTTCTTGAAGGAAAAAGTTAAGAGTTAGTTAAACAAATAGAGAGTAATTAGTAATTACAGATGAAGAGCAACTAGGAATTACAAACAAAAATAGAAGGTTAAGGAAGTGGAGAAGATGATATTATTAATAGATTAATGGAAAATGTGGTATATTTAATAAATTTTGTGATATCGAAATATCATTCAAAGTAACAAAAGTAAGCATTATATATTCAAACACTTATAACAGATAAAAGGGTAAATCAGTAATTTAATATTATTCAGACTACACATTCAGCACACATGGTAAACAGCTAAGTATCACAGTGTCACTTAACCCAGACAGACGTCTTAATACAGACAGACATCTTAATCCATACAGGACTTAATGGAAAAAAAAGTAAACAACCCCTTACAAGGGTTCCAAGCTGAGCATAGTTGCACCTACGTAATTGCCAGTTGACCAACATCTGATCAGATTGAGTTGACTTTTTAAATGCTTTCTTAGTTCAGAAACTCCTAGGATCTGGTGATGGCTGTAGATTTGGTGTCACTCTAAATTTAATGCCACCCATCTGATCTGTTGGATTAAGGTGTTGATGATGATGACTCTATATGAATATATGAAGATATTCTATATGTTGAAGATGATGCTTCAATGTGTTATTGAGATATCCAGTCTTGTTTTTTGGAATATGATCCAAAGAAAGCCAAACCAGTATTGAACTGAATTGTCCCTTGATTAATTGGTTGGTGGTTTGTTCAGCAGTCAATCTCTATTTCTCTTGCATTTTGTAGATGTGAACGAACTATGCTTTTTCTGGGTAATTCAGGCATCACTATCAATCTGGGAATGATAAAGAAGCTCTCTTGTTTCTGGAAATTGAGCCTAGCTGTGTCTTTTCAATTGTTGAGTAGTTTTCAGACAGAATTTTAAGGCACAGTAATGTCTATTCTTTCTTTCCATGAAATTGGATATGTAGTATAATGTTGCTCCATATTCATCTGTGTAATTACGCAGTAATAAACTGATGTACTTTTCCCATTGTTAAAAGAATTTTGTCAGTCTTGGTGCAATCAATGTATTCATGTTTTGTCTATAAAATTGACAATCAATGTATTCATGTTTTGTCTATAATTGACAAAGAATTTCACGCTACGTTTGATTTTTTTGTTGTTGAAAGAAACAAACTTAATTAATATTAATCAAATCACTGTTTAGTACATGAATAATGAAAGTAGGAGGAACTCCCATCCAGATCCGACATCCAGACATTGAACAGGCGACTTGAGCAAAGCCATGAGCCGCCCTGTTCGCAGATCGTCTAACAAAACAAAAGGAAATATCTGTCATCCTTGAGCATAAATCTCTGACATCATCTGCTATCACTCCTGCAGTAGAAATGCAAGAGCCATTCTTAATCTCCGCAATGGCTCGAGAAGCATCCGATTCCACGTCCACCCGCTCCCATCCTTGTTCCTTGACCCAGCTTAGAGCTTCCCGAATGCCAACCAGTTCAGCCTCCCAGGGGGATAATTTCCCCTGCCATGTCTTCGCAGCTCCCGCGATAAAATCTCCTGCCTCGTTTCGAAGAATCCAGCCCAGGCCACAATGATAATCCCGCACTGCTGCGTCCACATTAAGCTTGACCCGTCTCTGATGTGGCCTTCTCCAAAGTGAAGAGTTTGTACTCCCTTGATTGACTTGAACTGCAGCAGCTTTTTGAGCTTGTTCCCAACCTGCAAAATAAATTTTGGTTTTCAAGAGAATAAACTTTGGCTCCATACAAACCCCTTGCCACACCCTGACATTTCTCTCAGTCCACAACCCCCAACAGCCCCAAACGAGTTTTCTCAAGTCATCATTCTGCCTTGACTTAAACTCGACCTGTAGCTGCGAATAAAAGTCCCTGGCGCTATTTTGAGACCAAACCCAATCCACCCCCTTCCAAGCCTCCTTAGCCACCGGACAATCAATGAACAAATGGAACAACGACTCCTCCTCATTATCACAGAGTCCACACGCCACCACACAATCCACCTTCCTATTACGAAGATTCAATCTTGTCGGAAGAAGACCACAACAAACCTGCCAGAATTTTTTTTTTTGATTTTGGGGGGTAATTTCCAGTTCCACATAGAAGTCCAGTCGATCCATCCCTCTTGTTCGAACTCCCCGACCAACTTTTGGTAACAGCTTCGGACAGAGAAACGCCCGTTCGCCTCCCACCGCCAACAAACCCTGTCTGGAACCGATCTCAAACTGAGAGGAATGCTTTGTATAAGCCTAGCATCCCTTGATTCGAAAATATCACATATAAGGTCTGAATCCCAGCTCTTCTGAGATGTGCAAAAAAGATTCACCACCCTACTATTGTGAATACCCATTCCAGGGGCGGTTTCAACCTTAGGATTAATCTCATCTGGTAACCACGGCTCAGACCACATTGATGGATTCCCCATTACCCACACGCCAGTAATAACTATCCTTTATAATTCCTTGTGTTCGAAAAATGCTATGCCAGATAAAAGACGGGTTATGCCCAATTTTAGCAGTCAAGAAAGTACCTTTAGGATAGTAACGGGCTTTAAAAACCCGCCCCACTAAAGTCTCGGGTTCCGTAAACAGTCTCCAAGCTTGTTTGGCTAACATAGATAAATTAAAATCCCTGATCCTCTTAAATCCCATGCCTCCCAATTTCTTAGGCTTACACAAGAAATCCCAATTACGCCACTTAATTCCTTTCCCAGATTGCCCCGTCCACCAAAACGCATTCATAAGGACTTCCATTTCCCGACATAAATCCTTCGGAAAAAGAAAAACATTCATTGCATAATTCGGCATTGCTTGGACTACGGATTTAAGAAGAACTTCTCGGCCCACCCTAGACAAAAACCGATTATTCCAACTTTGGATGCGGTTTACTATCCTTTGTCTCAAATAATCTAAAATTTTCCGCTTACTTCTCCCTACCAACGCCGGCAACCCCAAGTACCTTTCTTCCTCACCGGCCAACCCCACCCCCAACATCTCTGTGAGACCAACTCGACACTCATTTGGAACATTGGAGCTAAAGAAAATTTTTGATTTATTGAGATTGATCATCTGCCCCGAGGCTATCTCGTAGTCATGTAAAATTTCCTTCACTAAAGAAGTTCCCCATGGGTTGCTTTAAAGAAAAGTAAACTATCATCTGCGAACAACAAATGGGAAATCCGGGGGGCACCACGGGCAATGGCCACACCATGTAAGCGCCCTGCTTCCTCATTATGCCTCAATAAGGCACTCAAACCTTCTGCCACTAAAAGAAAAAGATAAGGTGATAAAGGGTCACCCTGCCTCAACCCCCCGAGTAGGGAAAATGGGCCCTAACTCCGACTCATCAAAAGGGATAGAATAAGTCACAGATGTGATACATTCCATAATCAGATTAATCCAGGTCTCAGCAAACCCCAGATGTCTCATCATACCCTCCAAGAAAGACCATTCCACCCTGTCATATGTCACGCCCCAGACCGCAATCCAAGCGCGTGTACAACCGCCGTATAATCAAGTGACGTCACCCGCGAGTCAACCTCACTTAATTACACAAGGCGTTCGAGAATATAATCCATCCATACTCAGTAGTAAACATACATAACAACATCACATTTAAACCAATGAATAACGAAAATATTCAACGGTAAGTCATAAGCCACAACCGGCCAACAACACGGGCATGCAAGCCCTAAAAATAGTTTATAGTAGAACAAATATCCATGAGAATGTGTTCGGTAGTTTGAAAGAAAATAAGGAAGCACGAACCACGTCTCCCTGGAGTTGATATCACCCGTAAGAAGGTGCAGGTAGCAAGTCCTAGCTTCAACCTGAAAATGGTGGGGGGCCCCGAAGGGGTCAGTACAAGTACCGAGCGAGTAGCAGGCTAAATATAGAATAACTAGCGTTTCAAGTATAAGACCCAAACATAGGGTGATACTTATATAAATAGTCTTTCCCCCAAGTTATGAAATACTTATTAGTATATATATACTTGGAAAATATCCGATCCGTAGATCACCATTTTATTTGGGAAAAATAGTAATAGTCAATATTCTTGACTAAAAACCCCAACCCACCCATATACCTATGAGTGTATAGGACTCCTCCTTGTTCCTATTTCAATATCATAATCTATGAGTTTTGAGGATCATAATCCTTGGGTACTCCACCAATTTGTTTTCCGAGTGTTAAGGACTCATAAGTCCTAGGGTCCTCCACCAAGTTTTGAGTGTTAAGTACTTTTAAGTACTAGGGTCCTCCACCAAATTTTGAGTGTTAAGGACTTTTAAGTCCTAGGGCCCTCCACCAAGTTTTGAGTGTTAAGTACTTTTAAGTATTAGGGTCCTCCACCAAATTTTGAGTGTTAAGTACTTTTAAGTACTAGGGTCCTCCACCAATTTATAATCCGAGTGTTAAGGACTTTAAGTCCTGGGGTCCTCCACCAATTTATAATCCGAGTGTTAAGGACTTTTAAGTCCTAGGGTCCTCCACCAAATTTTGAGTGTTAAGTACTTTTAAGTACTAGGGTCCTCCACCAAAATATTTTCCTATGATCAACCTTCTATCAACCTAGATAGAGTCTATATCATACTTAGTTACTCATAACTAATTCAATACATAAAGCTTATGTATCACAATCCATGCAAAACCATGCATTTATATAGATTTATACGGTGGAAGAAAAATAAAGGAAGAGTTATGATAAGGTCATTACCTTAATCTTTTCACACTTTTAGCACTTTAGCTCCTTTTCAAACTTGGTGAAACTTATGTATCATACCAAGGGTCCTTCACATGATATATACTTCATACGGTGGAAGAAAAATAAAGGAAGAGTTATGATAAGGTCATTACCTTAATCTTTTCACACTTTTAGCACTTTAGCTCCTTTTCTTGGGATTCCTTCTTGTTGAGCTCTCTTCAACAATGGAGAAGGAGGGATGGTGGATTTCTTGTTCTTCCTGGGTGGATTTCGGCTTCTTTTTCATAATCATATTATGAAAAAACCATGAATTTATATAGATTTATAATTAATTAATACCAACCGGTATTAATTAAATCTTTTGTCCATTGGTCAACGCTTTCATTGACCGCCATTTCAAGCCTTGTGCGTATCAACTTAATCATCATATAATTAAGTTAATAATATTCATTTGTGCTTCTAATACACTTCAAACAAATATGCATTTCATATAATTCTTCATATCATATTCCATGCATCAACAATTAATTTCTTTCATACAAATTTAACCCTATTGGCTAATCACATGTTTAAATATCTTTTAAACATCATTACGAACTCATATAACATTTATTTAGGTAATCTCATAATTAACCCAAAAGTTATAAGATATTAAGCCGTCCACTCACCTTGAACTAGCGTTATGAAGTTCTACCCTTCTTGGTTGAACTCCGGTGAAACTCCGGCGACTTTTGGTCAACTCCGGCGACAACTCCGGCGACTTTTCCAACTTTGTGAAATCACTTGAAATACCCTTTACAAGTGCCTAACAAGGTTTTATAATCATAAAACCCATATTAATACAAATAACCTCTAAAAGGCTATTTTCCGGTGAATCGGTCGTTTCGGCTTCTACGTCCGTTCTTGGACATAGAACCATCTTCCAACCCATAAATTCATACTCATAACATGTGGAATCATACCAAGGGTCCTTCACATGATATATACTTCATACGGTGGAAGAAAAATAAAGGAAGAGTTATGATAAGGTCATTACCTTAATCTTTTCACACTTTTAGCACTTTAGCTCCTTTTCTTGGGATTCCTTCTTGTTGAGCTCTCTTCAACAATGGAGAAGGAGGGATGGTGGATTTCTTGTTCTTCCTGGGTGTCTCTTGGCCGAGAATAAGGGAGAGGGAGGGGTGAGGGTAACCCTTTGTCTCATTAAACAAATAAGTGTGGACGGGATCCACCTTATTTTGTTTGATGCTCTTCCCTTCACTTCACACACCATCACATGCTCTTCCCTCACTCCAGCCGGCCAAACATTTTAATTTGGGTGACCAAATACGTGGGTTGGCCCCCACCCAAGTGGGAGGTCAACCCTTTTTGTCCCGAAGTGTACAATCGACCCCGAAAGTTGTATTTTTCGGACTGTTTTAAATATATTTTATTTTATCGGGTCAAATAAAATATATTACTCACTCTCAATCATAACGCCCCTTTGAAATAATATATATTCCAAAACTTTAATTTGGAAGTCTCCGAAATTCAGTTCGGGCTGTTATCTGTTGAATTACCAGTACCGGTAGTTTGGGCTTCTTTTGACCAATCGGTCAACTCCGGGCCTTTCCATGGCCCAAATGAAATATCCACCACTATATATTTATTATCTAGACCAAGATGAATAAAATATATGGTCTCGGGAATGTCGGTCGGCCCCCGCTCCCGGTGTGGGTCCCACGTGCAATTTACTATTCACGCGAAAGAATTAATAAAAATTTACAACCTCGAAATTCCTAAATCATTCCATAAGGTTTATTACATCATTTACTTGAAAGTAAATACATTTGGGGACGGTGTTACATCATAGGCTTTGCTCATGTCTAATTTTAGACTCACAAACCCCATTTTACCCTGCGTCTTTCGATTCAAATAATGTTACGACTCGAAAGCTAACATAATATTATCAATGATGGACCTACCCGGAATAAATGCACTTTGGGTCTCACCACAGTTTACCTGATTGGAAAGCCTCGGCACAAAATTTGATAACATCTGGCCCCACCACATCCCAATAGTGTTGAAAAAATCCCGGACTCATCCCATCCGGGTCGGGCGCTTTATTTGGATACATGGCAAAAATAGCCGCTTTAACCTCCTCTCCTCGAATAAGCCGTAGAAGCTCCACATTATGATGCTCATCCAACTTTCTAGGAACACAATGGAATAAAAAATTCTCATTACTCTGCACAGAAGAGAAAATATTATTAAAATAATCGCTGATTAGCCGGCCAAGTTCGGTCCTGTCTCTCTCCCAGTTGCCCCCTTCCAACCTCAAACCCTCCACTCTATTTTTTCTCCTGCGATGCTTCACTGAATTATGAAAAAATCCAGTGTTAAGGTCACCTCCCTTGAACCAAAACTCTTTAGCCCGTTGGGGCCAAAAAATACTTTCCCGCTCCAAAAGTTCCAGATACTCTCCCTTTACCCGTTGAAAAGCTGCCAGACTCCACTCATCCGAATGTCTTCTTAGAAACTCCAAACGCTTACGGCAGAAACTTATTTATTCTCCTGCCAAATGATCCGTTTCTTTTTTTGCCCCACTCACATACTGAATTTCCACAAAATTCAATTTGACCAATAATGCCTTTGTGAGCCCCCAGATTCCAGCTCCTTGCAACTAGCGACCTGCAATCCTCATCCCGAAGCCAACAATTTTCGAACTTAAATTTACTCCTGCGGTGAAACCTGCGGGAAGGAAGCAATTTAATGTACAACGCTAAATGATCGCTAGGAGACCCCTCCACCGATTCAGCACTTGCATCACCAAAAATCTCTAACCAGCTCTCAGAAACAAGGATCCTATCTAGCTTTTCTTCCACCCAAAATTGAGTACCCCGCCACCGTTCCCAAGTATATTGATAACCCTGAAATGGGAAGTTCTGCAATCCACTCGCCCAAACAGTTTCCCGAAAACCCCTCAGAAGCCAAGGAGGATGTGGGACTCTGCCGCGCTTATCGGAATCCACCATGAGGTCATTGAAATCACCCATAACAATCCATGGAATGCTCATCTCCAGACTCAGAGATTTTAAAATATTCCAGGACTCCCTCCTTCTTCCACGTTCCGGGCACCCGTAAAAACCAGTGAACCGCCATAAAGGATCTTCCACCTCCAACCGTATGCAAGCATCAATGAAATGGGGTGAGGAGTGTCGAATATCCACATGAACCCCATCCCCCAAAGAAGCGCTAAGCCACCTCTATGCCCCTCGTTGTCCACGGCAAAGCAATATTTCAAACCAACTCTCCTCATCACCTCCTGAACTCGCTGTGAATTCGAAAATGTCTCCATTAAAAAAACCAAACACGGCCTCTTCAGGTGGATCAAATCCACCAGAGCTTGAACTGTCGCAGGATTGTCAAGCCCACGACAGTTCCAACTAAAGCAACTCATGATTCCCGGCGGGCCTGGAATCCAGGACCCGCCGTTGCTCCGTTTTTTGAAAGTAAAAAATCCTCATTCTAAAGCTACGTTTGATTTTTCTTTCTTCTTTCCCCCCCTTTTTTGTTTAGAGTCTAATAATAAATTAATAATTGGACTCCCAAGAATCCATCCCAAATCATAGAAAGATGTAAATTAGAGTTGCTTGAACAATACACTAATTCCCACAGTCATCTTTACCGTTACACCCCCACAATTTAATTTTCTTATACTTCTACTAATACCCATGTGTTACATGAGATTTAGCTTTTTAAACATATTAAATAATCTTAGAGGTCAGAACAGATAATATTATAGGTTAGAACGATTTCTAAAAAAAATCTTAGAGGTGTGGTAATGATTACATTTTTTTAATTACAATTTGTAATGTATTATTGATAGGCTCTCTAAAGCTACAAAGCAAAAAAAAAAATCACTAATTTCCAACAACAATTATTTTTAAGTCTAAATTGAAGAAGAAGAAGGTTGTAAAGTGTATGTATATATTTCGTGCCTAAATAAATACGTCCTTTTCATATTCTAAGTTTTAGTTTATGGGTTTTATCAGTCAACTTTTTATCAAACATGTAATTTGGATTTCGGAGAATAAAACCTTCTTCCTTTATTTGAATATATGTAGTAATGTATTTATTTTTCATATACATCATCCATTTTTTTGGGAAGATATACATCATCCTTTGAAGTATTCATTCCTATTCATCCTCAGAGTAATTAAGAAGCCCTTTCTTAGCTTCAAGCTAATTAAGGATAAATTTCAATTAGAGACTTTAATCCCAAGGGTGAAATTATTTTGTAAGCACTGAAGCCAGCTTCAAGGAAGAGCTTTGCCCACTCTTTCTCTGATCTCTCTTTCCCTTTGAAATAAGTCATCATCAACATATCGAAGAGAGTTTGGGTTTCAATTGCCAGAACATCATCTTTCTGATTCCCTACCACGACATCTATTACAATGACCTTCCCACCTTTTCCTTTCTTGGAAATTGATTCTTTACATTTCCTCAATATTTTGAGGCATTCTTCATCACTCCAATCATGCAAAATCCACTGCACATGGTTAACACTCAATTCAAAAATCATGGATGAATTAGAACTGCACAAAGATATAAAAGAGACGAAAAAGATAACCTGAGACAAAATTAATTAGTAAGTATGGGGTGTTTGGATCTGATTCTTAAAACTGATTCTGCTCCTTGAGGGAGCGGAAGCAAAAGCTGGAGTGTTTGGGTGAAAGTGCAGAAGTGATTCTGGTGCTCTTTTTTACTCCTAGAATCAGTTTTTTAGAAGCTGGGGTGACCAGTTTCTGAAGAAAAATTCTGATTCTGCATCTACTTTAAAAAAGAAGCAGAAGCAGAATCAGTTCCAAACACCCCCTATGTATTGTTCTTTCTGACATGAAATAGCTAATAACAATGTGCATAGTAATATCTTCATTGACAAGTTTATTGTTGGAATATTTCACACATCGGTAAAATATGACCTAATGAAAGACAATATAAATAAATCGAGTTACTCCTCTTATCATGTTGACTTTTTAAGATAGAACTCTGAATTTGGGGCTTCGGTTGTGGGTTGATTGTTGTTTAGCACTCATGAATCATGATTAAGGTAGTTTGTTAAAGGTCTATTTGGCACATTTATACACTCCAATATTGTAACCCGGTTTGTGCTTAGGGCAATGTTCTAAAAGACACTAGGCGCTAGTCGGGCGCCAGCCCAACGCCTAGCGCCTAGGCGGGCGCCTAGTCTTGGACTAGTCAGAAACATAGAAATTGCATTTTTATCTATATTTTGCATAAATATGATAAGTAATATTGTATTTTTGTGTGTATAAAATACATATATACGTATACATTAATAAACATGAATGATTAAATTACCACATTTTTTAATAGAATTATCACATTTAATCATACGTGGTATATGATAACTAATCACTTAACCTCATTATGTTATAAATATAAATAATGATAAAAGTTAGGTATATATGCAAACTATATAGATTTATCTTAATTTACAACTTCATTTCTTTATATCCATTGCTAAAGCTAACATACATATATCGCTTAGAAAATTAAAATTAAAAAGTGAAGTAATGTTCAGCGAATCTAGACGGCCTAGGCGGCCGATTAGGCACTCTAAGCGGGCAACTAGGCGCCATAGGCGGCTGACTAATTCACCTAGATGGCAAACCAATTAGTCGGAGCGCCTATACGAAAATCGGGGCGCCTATACGAAAATCGGGGCGCCCGACCACCTCCTAGCGCCTAGGCGGGGGGGGACTAGTCGGGCGCCTAGAACGATTTTTATAACAGAGGCTTAGGGTGTGTTGAAGTCTTTGTCCCACGCCGGAACGGTAAAAACAATAAAATACAGAGTACTATTTAAGATCTTGGCCGAATCCTCATGGGTTACCTTTTAGATGGAGCCCGAAGTCTTAATATATATGGTATTTGAGCCAAATCGATGACACAATCCAGATGGAGTATCTGGTTGTAAAAAGAGTTGTAAAATATTTCTCACACTAGTAAAATATGAACTAATGAAGTAACTTAATACTACCTATGTTCCAATTTGATAGTCCTGTTTCATATTTACCTGGTCAACATAAACAACTCTTAATCTTTTACTTTGTATATCCAACTTTTGATCAAATTTGATTTTTTTACGATTATGTAAAACTTTTAATGTAGTTTCTGGATGTGTAAATTTTATTCACTACAAATAATTTGAGTGATGACAGAGATCAATTTGCTTCATCAAATACTCCGTAACTCTTAAAGCGCAATGAGACTATGAGACCAAGGGAGTAGTACTACATTATGTACCTTGAGAAGAACAGCATCCGCAGAAGGTATGGACACGAACATGTCCCCTCCAACATATTCCAAATTCTTCTTCTTCTCCTTCTCCTTCTCCACGAAGTAGCCGGAGAGGACTAACGTGCGCATGAGTTGACCGAGCTGCTCGGCTTTGGCCTTGTTGATTGGGAGGGCGTTGACCAGCTCGGGAAGGGTCATGGGTCTTTGGTGCTTGTGGATGATGTCGGGGATGTCCAGCTGGACGGCGCATCTTAGCGAGGTGGCTTTTAAGCAGCTTAATAGCGTGTTGTATATAGGGATGGTTCGGTACGGTATACCGAAGATTTTATCTCATACCTTTATCATACCGTAAACTTTCGGTATGCAAAAATACATACCGTTACCATACCTAAATTTCGGTATACCTTGTTTCGGTATACCGAAATTTCGGTACGGTAATTTACGGTATTGGTAAATTATCATGATTTAATATCAAATTATTATATATCAAATGAAATATAGAAAATCAGTGTTAATAGTGATATACTAAAATTATTAATGAAATTAATTATAAAATGCCAATGATAACCTATTTGTGTTCTATTCAACTTTGAACAAAAAAATATTATAAATATGTACGGATACTTCAACACATGATATATGAAGATAACAACACATTCTGCTAAAATAATAATTTAAACAACCTAAATATATTTGAAATAACATCGATTTCCAACAAAAAGTATAAATAATTCAAGAAACATGGATATAAAGTCATTATCCTTGAATTAATGTTGTGTTTCTAATTATTTTTATAATTCTAAAGAAATTATTGGCTTGGAATTACGGTATGACGGTATAACGGTATACCGTTTATTTCCAAAATATATACCGATACCATACCGAAGTAATTCGGTACGGTATCATACCGTACCAAAAGTGTCGGTATACCAAACACTTCGGTAAATTCGGTATTTTTCGATATGGTAAGTCCGGTATACCGAAATTTCGGTATTTTTCCCCACCCCTAGTTGTATATGTGAGTTTGAGCCTCTAAAAGCCCACTGTCTTCACCCCCTACGGCCGGAAGCTGTTTTGATATTGCCATTCAAACTTTGAAGCATTAAGAAAATAAATGAAATATGGTGTGTGTATGTCTGAACTAATGTCCCTCTCGGTGTTAGGCTTTATAGACATTTTAAAATGAGGGTATTGTACCTATACATTTAATTATTCTAAGGGCGTGTTTTGCAATTAATGGTTAGTAGATACTCCATCTGTCCTATTTAAAGTTCTCGTCCTCTATTCTCCGCTCCACGTAAATTCTTCTTAATCTTTTATTTTATATATCCAACTTTTATCAAATTTAATTTTTCTGGATCAGGTATTATAAAACTTTTAATGTAGTTTCTGAATATGTAAATTTTACTTACTAAAAATAATCTTATTAATGATAGGGGACAGTTAACTTTATGGGCAGTCAAACATCGTAAACCGCGTGAGAACCTTTAATTTAAGTGAGGCGGAGGGAGTAGTTGATTGTGTTAACATGTTGTTAATGGCGGGTTTAGTTATGATTTACTAGCGAATAACTTGGCGGGATGCAAAAACATGTTTTGTAATTTAGCTATTTAGTCGTAGCAATTACAAGGAAACAACCTACTAGTTTTCAAAACGCTAACCCAAAATGCTGCTATTTTTCATTTCGACAGTGTTGTCCAAAACGCTAGGGCCAAATAACTATTTACCAAACATTGTTTTCACTTATTGAAAACGTTTAAAAAGGATCAAACCGCTTTTTTTTATATATAAACTCCATTTTCCAAACATACCTAAGTCATTATTTCAACATATTCTTATGTAAATTATTACGGAGTAAATTACAACATTCTAATTAGTCCATATGGACAAGGTACTTTACTTTGAGGAGTATGTACTCTAGAATTTGTAATGACATTACTCAAAGTGGCCATTATTGCAAGTAATACGTAGATTAAGAGTCTCGTTCCTATACATAGGTCTTTCTGGGATAAGAGTCAATTTGGTCCTCGAAGTTGCAAAAAAGGGGTCAAATAAGTCCTTATATAGAAGATTCTGTCCGGACGTGTCATTTGAGGTGGCTCCCGGTGGAATTTTTTGATGAAAATTTTTGAGCATCTTATTCATTAAGTCTAGTTTAGTCATACCAAATTTCAGATAAAAATTCAATCGGGAAGACATTCAAATGAATTTTTAAAGATAACTGTGCCGTTAAAAGCGCTGTTATCTTCAAGAATTCATTTGAATGTCTTCCCGATTGAATTTTTAGCTCAAATTTGGCATGAGTAAACTAGACTTAATGAATAAGATGCTCAAAAAAATTTATCACAAAATTCCACCGGGAGCCACCTCAAATGGCACGTCCGGACAGAATCTTCTATATAAGGACTTATTTGACGCCTTTTTTGCAACTTCGAAGACCAAACTGACCCTTTACTCCTTTTCTGGTGGATTTTTTTATGAAATGTTTTGAGCATGTTCTTCATCAAGTCTAGTTTATACATACCAAATTCAGCTCAAAACTCCATCGGAAAGGCAGTTAAATAAATTATTGAAAAAAACTACACTTTTATATGTATACTTTAGCACAATTTTTTTCAATAATCAGGTTTAATGCCTTCCCGATAGATTTTTAAGCTGAAATTTGGTATGCATAAACAAGACTTGATGAAGAACATGCTCAAAAGGGTCAAATAGGCCCCTGTACCTGTTCGGAATGCTCAATTCGCACCCCGAACTCAAAAAAGCTCCAATTCACCCCTGAACTCGCCAAAAAAGTTCAAATCCCATTTTTTACAGGTGAGTTTCCGGTCATTGCCACGTCAGCCGGTTAGATGCCAACCGTGCATCCCACGTGGAAATGTAAGAGGTCAAATAGACCCCTGAACCCAACAAAATTGTTCAATTTACCCCCTCAACCGTTAAAAAGTGTCGAAATTGCCATTAAAAAATAAAAAATAAAATTAGAAAATATAAATATAAACAATATACAATTTCATAATATAAAATATATGAGTCTATTTATACTATGACGATAAATTATTTATATTTTAGGGTAAATTTAATATTTTTAAATATTTATGAGTCTATTTATAATATGACAAAATATTAAAAAAAATATTAATTTGTAAAAAATGTATGGTTGATTTTTTAAAATGGATTTAAAACATCAAAATATTTTTAATGAGTTTCTTTTTGTTTTTTTTTTAATGTGAATTTACCTCAAAAAATAAGGATATATTTATATTTACAGTAAATTCATATAAAATAATTTAAAAGAAATTCATTAAAAATATTTTCATATTTTTAATATTTTTTATATTTATATGTAAAGTTACACACACACATGCACACATGCATATATGTTTATATACTACGTACTATACTTCATACTAATTATATTTAACATAAAAATTTTGTATTATATAAAAATTATAATATGTGTTAAGGTTAATTCCTTCAACCCTCGGGCCCAACACGTAAGCCCAAAAGGTCTCGAGTGGAAGAGGTGTATGAGTGTGTGAATGTCTAGCCCAACAACTATCAGACGGATCAGGAAACCGAGGAAATAGCAGGCAATGTAGATCGGTATTATTAACTTCGTAATAACCCCCCTAAGTACAATCTACTTGCTAAAAAGGCACGTCGGCCGTTCGTCTTACTAGACAGTAATCTGAGCTGCGAGTAAGGGAAATCAGCTAGAATGCTAAGAATAGAAAGTTGCCAACGCTTTACAATGAAATAAATGCTTCTATTTATACCCACCAATGAGCAGGTGGCTATACCACGTGGAAGCCTGTGGTTCGCTAGTGTCCCAACCACCAATTCTTCAGCATTAAATGCGCTTCCCGCCAGAATCTAGGTTTCCCGCCTAATTAGTGGGGACGTTCGTACGCCAGAGGAGCAAGCTGGATTGCTCCAGGTGGCCTCCAAGGGGTATCGGCCGTTCGTCTCCTCGCCATGCGGATTGGACTGCCTCCTATGGTTAGGGGCTTGCCCTGACGACGTTTGTCGTCACTCCGGTGACCTGTGGTCCCGCTTCCTGTCCCTGCATAAACGCTCATCGAGATGGGCCATTGAGCCTAAAACCCCAACTACAGACGTTCGTCCCTCCTGGGGGAAATGGGCCTGCCAGGCTAGCCTAGTGATCTATCTGGACGTACGTCCGGGAGAAGGGGTAAACGGGCCGAATCCCGATTTGGACCATTAACCCAACAATATGTAAATAGCTAGGGACTACTACATTTTTATAATATGTATTTAAAAAATAAGTACCTTCATTATGTTTATATATATATATATATATATATATATTTAATTTACCGTGAAATATAAAAATTGTCTTATTATATTATAAATAGACATCTGTGTTTTATATTATGAACTTGTATATCATTTTGTTTTATTTTTCTCTATTTTTTAATAGAGATTTCATATTTTTAATAGCAATTTGGACACTTTTCAACGGTTGAGGGGGTAAATTGAACAACTTTGTCGGGTTCAGGGGTCTATTTGACCCCTTAGATTTCCACGTGGGATGCACGGTTGGCATCTAACCAGCTAACGTGGCAATGACCGGAATTTTACCTGCAAAAAATGGGATTTGAACTTTTTTGGCAAGTTCAGGGGGTGAATTGGAGCTTTTTTGAGTTCGGGGTGCGAATTGAGCATTCCGAATAGGTACAGAGACCTATTTGACCCTTTAGCAAAAAATATTCATAAAAAAATTCCACCGGGAAAAACCTCTGATGACTTTGTCCGTACGGAGCTTCCTATTGTCCCTCTTGTAGAATAATTTGGTTAAGTTGGCTAATTAAATGAATGATTATGTGCAACATACGTCAAATTGGCCCGCCGGTCCTTACCTGACAGGTTGACAGCCCTCAAATGCAAAGCCAAATTTAGACAAGTTTCCTCAAATGTGTAAGGCACTTCTAAGCTAAGGCCTAATAATAGCTAAAATGTTGTATTCGTAAATTTGGAAAACGTAGTTAGTTACTAGTATTATTTTGTTTGCCCTTATAAAATTGTTAGGTATGGATGGCGAGTAAATTTGGACTAATATTTGCTGGTCTGGTCTGGTAAACGTCTGGTCCTCTGTGTAATTTATAACTACGGAAGTCTGATCTGGTCTGGTCTGATCTGGTTTGGTCTGATCTGGTCTGGTCTGGGACTGAAAACAGTTCAAAAGAAAACATCCTATATATGATTGGAAGTATATCCGCATCGAATCAAAATAGGAAAAAACACATGCATTGATCGAGTAAATGGATACAATGTGACAATGTGTGTGTGGACTAATATAACATTTTTACTTGGGAGAAATGTAATCATATACTCCTCTAGTATGAGTATTAGAACAAATATATTTTTGTTCTATTTTTATGAATAAGCATGTCCTTGATGTTTATGTGGAAGTGCATATACACCTTTGAACTTTTAAAATGAGCAAAAATATCCCTCACGTTTTTATAAGGGAACAAATTTACATTTATAGATTTAAAATAAATAAAATAAAATTTAGAAAAACACCAAAAATAAATTATAAGTTTGAAATTGAAAACTAAATAAAATTAAAGAGTTAAAAATTAATTATTTATTTTTATGTTAAAATATTAACTCTTTAATTTTAAACTATAAAATTATTATTTTTCTGTTGTAAATGAAACACTTCAAATTCATAAATACGTAGTATTAGTTTTAGTCTTGTTGCAAAACTTGGAACACATTATTACAATTTTTTGAAATAACATTCTTTGATTTTGTTTAACCTCAACAAAAATAAATTCACTATTTTGTTATCTTGGACTATTTATCATCATTCAAAATATGTAATTTTATAGTGCAAAGAATACAAAAAATTAATGATTTTTTTACATTGCAACACATATGTTAGCACTTTTCCGGAAGAATCTTAAATATATAGTAAACTTTCGAAATAATATTTCATACTAACAATATTAAATTATGATATAAAAATAATAAAAGGTAAAATTATACACAAGTTTTTTTTTTCTTTCAATTTCAATATAATCTATTTTTGGTGTTAATAGAAATTTATTTTTTCTATTTAAAGTCAATAAAGGTAAATTTTCTCCTTTATAGGAGCATAAGGATTTTTTTTTGCACCTTTTAAAAGTTCAGGGGTATATAAGTACTTCCACATAAACTTCAAGGGTATATATGCTCCAAAAAATAGAACATGGATATACTCCGTATTTGTTTTCACATCCATACTATAGAGATATATATAATTGTACTTTTTCCCTTTTTACTTATGGGTAATGGGTTTGCTACATAAAAAAAGCATAAAAGAAAAATAAAAGAAATGAAACAAATAGAATTTTTCCTTAAATATTACTAATAAAAAGCCATGAACAAAAATACTCCCTCCGTATTTTAATGTTCACTAAATTAGGTTTGACGCATTATTTAAGGAGTAAAGTAGTACGAGCAGTTAATATAACTTCTTATACACAATTTGTATTTGTGTGTGTGTGTGTGTATATACTCCCTCCGTCCCGGTGGACTTTGTCAAGTGCAAAGTAGGTGAGAAATAAGAATAGTAAAAATTATAGGGTTAAGATTTGTGCAGATGAGAGAGAAATGTGAAGAATCACAAATTAATTGCTTTAACAGGAAAGTGACAAAGTTTTTGGGACAACAAAAAAGAATGATTGGCAAAGTCCAATGGGACGGAGGGAGTATATTTTACATGTGTAAGTTTAAATTATTATTGAACACTTAATAATTTTTAGAAAAAGTGTTTTTTTACAGTATTTTCACAAAAAGTGTTAAAAATTATGTTTACGTTTATTTTTAAATAATTACTAACACTATCATTTCTAAGATATGTACATTAATGCGAGTACACACATATAAATTCATATACTTTTAGTATTATTATTTTAAATATGATTGTTTATTAGTTTTTTTAAATCTACTCCTTTTAAAAAATCTACTCTGCTATATGACTATTTATTAGTTTTTTTAAAATATACTCCATGGCTATTTAAAATAGATGAAAATATAATTTTTAAAACCTTTTCAAAGACTTTTTAAAAATAAAAGAAAAAAGTTTAAGATATATATATATATATATATATATATATATATATATATAAATTTATATCTTTAATGGTTATTTTACGTCTTACTACGTAACATTTAATCGCAAACAGTTAAGTTACTAACATTTTATTTCAAACGTTTAAGAAAGCAGTTAATTATAAAAGCTAATGGAATCCACTATTATCAATATGATGATTCAACCGGTAATAGCAGACAATTGCTATTTTCAAACACGGTTGTTGACATTTTTAGACCCCCACTGTTGATGATAAAATCAAAATAAAAAGACCGCAAATGTCAATTTCACAATACTTAGCATATGAAATGTCGGAAATTCTAAAATCAAAAATCAAAAGTTTATCACTCACAAAAAATTGATCAATTTATCACGTTTCTTTTTTATCAATACGTCTCAAGTGACATTTTATCATCATTCTTTTTTATCAAGTAATTTGTCACGCTCCTTCGTTTGGAATATTTAAATTAATTTCCTCAATTTAAAAAACTTGGAGTGCAAATTCTAATTTGGTGTAATTCAAATCTCAAAAAACTCACAAAACAGTCCTTTGATCTAGATCAAGTCTGCAGGAGTGCGGGAGCTCAATTGCGATCTATCCTGGCCAGAACTCATCTATCGATTTGAATGCTGTGAATGATGATAAATTGACGAGAAAGCTCTGTTACGTTTTCATGCGCGATCTCTCATATTCACTAAGCCAACACCGGAGCAGCAGATCTGTTCGCAAAGGTTGGCCCTTGTAGTCGTTCGGTCGACAATCTCAACCTTTTTCCGAACTCAGCAGTCGCCAATGGCCGGAGCGGCCTCGGCGCTATTCCTTTTGGACATCAAGGGTCGTGTACTTGTGTGGCGAGACTTTCGTGGCGATGTCTCCGCCTCTCAAGCCGAGCGTTTCTTCACCAAGCTTCTGGAGAAAGAGGTTCTATACTCAAATTTTGTTGTTATTTTTATAATTTATCCACTATATTTGTTTCGTTTCTTGCTTCCCATTGTCTGTATTTTGATGCTAAATCGCTATGTTAACGTAAACAAATAGATGAGTTAAGTTCAATATGGTTCTTAGGTCGAGATAAGTTAGCTATGGCAATTCACCCTTTAAAAGAAAATCCATAGGCATATGATTGATTATAATGAGAAATTTGAGTAACTCTAGGGAGACATGCAAATTGGACATTATGGGGCGATACAAGGATGCCACTTAATGATGTCTAATTTATCATCATCCTAAGAATGTGTCAGGCAAAGATGCCTCTTAATGATTTTCCAGTCTATTGTGTAAGAGTTTTCAGAGAAATCTAGTTTCTGACTTGCATTAGATCCAATCTTATTATCAGCTGGACTGTTGGACTTGGAACACATACTGAACAAAGAAAGTTGCTTTAAATGCAATAGTAAATTAGTGCTCTGTATCTAAGCTGGTTGTTATTAATCAACATAAATAATTTGTTGTGCTGATGTTAAAGAACAAACTTATTTACCAATCAGGAAAGGAACACTTAATTGTTCTACATTAAATCATTTCAAGTACTGTTTGGACGATATACATCCTTAATATTGATCTGTCTTTAGCTGTTTTCCTGCTTCCGTTCTTTATTGTTTTTGAGCAATCTTCTGTCTTGCAATTTATCACTAGTAATTTGATTTGGTTTCAGGGAGATCCTCAAGATCCTGTTGCACATGATAGTGGTGTTACATATATGTTTATTCAGCACAACAATGTGTACCTCATGATTGCATCGAGGCAGAACTGCAATGCTGCTAGTCTTCTTCTCTTCCTACACCGTGTAGTCGAAGTAACTACTATTGGAGATATGATATCATCTTTAGTTTAATATGCTCAATTTCCAATCTAACTTTCACATTGTCATTTACCAACTCACTAAAGGTCTTCAAGCATTATTTTGAAGAGTTAGAAGAAGAATCTCTGAGAGACAATTTTGTTGTAGTGGTATGAGGAGTTAATACATCTATCCAGTCTTCTCACATACCTATCAAAATATTGATTGTAATGGACAACATGTGGTTAAGTTTCTTTTGTTCACACTTCACAGTATGAGTTACTTGATGAAATCATGGACTTTGGATATCCTCAATTTACTGAAGCCAAAATTCTTAGTGAATTTATCAAGACCGACGCTTATCGAATGGAAGTTACTCAAAGGCCCCCCATGGCAGTCACAAATGCAGTATCTTGGCGTAGTGAAGGAATAAGTTACAAGAAAAATGAAGTAAGTTTCTCTGTTTTTTAATTGTAAATGAGTTTTCAGCTTCAACTGGACGTCTGGACCCAAATAAACGTTTTCTGTATCCAGGTATTTTTGGATGTTGTGGAAAGTGTAAACATTCTTGTCAATAGTAATGGGCAAATAGTGCGGTCAGATGTTGTTGGTGCCTTAAAGATGAGGACATATTTGAGGTGTGTTTTTTCAGCTGAATAATAGTTATGTGTACTCTATGCTGGTAAGAATCATCTGGAAATATGTTTCCATGTGACTTCGTTTTTATGTTCTTTATACGCCTTTTGACTCTCTGGTTTTGTTGAAAATGCACACCACACCCTAAACAGCACTCATATGCTCATATTGGAACTTTAGAAGTAGGCACTGGGCCTACAATCAGCACACACAGCACACTATCTGTTTATATATTACATATCCTGCATACACAGAGCACACAAGTTGAGTGTTGACATATCACATATCCTCTTCTATTGTGTACGGATATGTGTCAAAAAAATAGTCCCATCTCAGGATAAGGTTTGATACAATGTATGGATTGTGTATTGACAAGGTGTAAACCTCATTATGAATTAGACAATGTATTGAGATAACCAACTGTATTGGTCAAGTCTCATCAAACGATTGATATAGTAAAATTAACATGCACTGATGCACATCGTGGATATCACCAATTAGTAATGATTGTGTCCAGAATATTAATTACTAATTTTCTTGCTCATGCAGTGGGATGCCTGAATGTAAACTTGGTCTGAATGATAGAGTTTTACTGGAGGCTCAAGGGAGATCTACTAAGGGAAAAGCCATTGATTTGGATGACATCAAGTTCCATCAGTATGTATTTAAAATTATAGTTTAGTTCTAGTGTACAGAGCTTTCCATAATTGATTCAACTATGCTAGTTGGTAATTTTAATTTTAATCTGAAAGGAAGAACTTTAGTGTGTGTGTAGGGGGGGGGGGGGGGGGAGAAGATGAAATATAACAGATCTATGTAGCTACTATTTTTTATTTGGTTGACTATACTTACCTAACCTCTTCACAATTGGGAAATTTTTAGTCACCTGAACAAAAAACACCCAATTTACCACTTGAATGTCTCAAAATTGTTTATTTCTCACTTTTAGAGTTTTAATAGGTTAGTTTTAGTTCCCAGTGGAGCAAGCTGGTGTCACAACCAACTTATAATATTTTAAGTTGATTGGCAAGTTTTTAGTGACATATCTTGTATTTAACTCTTGAATAGATTTAGTTAATTATATAATTTTCTCTATAAAACATGCACCTAATTCTTTAACAGTAACTGTCTCCTTTGGGGTAGGGGTGATTTGGATTTGGAACTGGAGCTGAAAATGGGGGAGCCAGACCAAACATATAAGATGATGTTCCTGTTATGATTTAGGGTTTAAGGGAACTAATGGTTCCAGTTCCCTTTTCTTTTCTTATTTATTTCAAGGGCGACAATTGGCCAACTACCTACAAATAGCCATTAAGGGCGGGGAGGTTGGGATTCTACCCACAAAGGTATAAAAGACGTTTTGGAATTGGAACCATCAGAAAACCAAACTGGAATTGGTCCCAATCGTACCCCATTCACGGAACCGGGAACCGGAATTGGCCAGTGATGAATTAGAAGCGTAGGTTTGTACTAATAGTATTAGTCAGGCAAACCAACTTGCCAGAATAATACCTAATATTATCTGATTATTTAGTTTTTCCTTTAAAAACCGGAACCTTCTTCAGTTCAATTCTTCGGAGACTCGTGGTTTGGGATGGGTAGAGATTGGAGCCCCTGATACTGAAGATTACATCAGAGTTAGAGCTTCTGAAGAATCCGGTAATGGCTGGCAGGCCGGAGGTTGCTGGATCTCTGTAACCAAGAAGAAGCTGGTGGGGAGTGGCTGTGGTGTTTGAAGGTTGAGGGTGGTGTCTAGTGATGTGGTTGGTCTGGGCATCCCCAGAGAAGGTGAAAGGCGCTAGAGATGATGCTAGAGAATGAAAATAATACCTCCATTGATTCTGATTACAAAGAGCTTACCATTCCAGTTTTTTTATTCTAAACCAGAACTAGCTAGAGGTAATGTTAGTTAGTTAGTTAGCTTTTAGTGGTTATGCTTCACTTTAGGTGTCTACCAAAGACGTTGTATCGTATTTGCAGGAGAGGTGCTCCTCAAAGAGAAATTGCATGATGAAATAAGAAAAGAAAAAGGAAAAAGAAAAAGTAAAGAAAAGAAAAGGAAAAAAAGAAGAAATTAGGGGTTAACTACACCTCACAAATAAGCATACAACTGAATGCTAACCTGGGAAAGTGAGTTTTTCACAAACTTTTGAAGTTTAGGTAGTTAATTGGGGTATTAGGAGGACCTATCTGCCAATTTTCCGTAAATTTTAATGTTACACTGCTTGAGCTTTTATCTTTCACATTTCTTGTTGAAATGCTTTTTTTGTTTTGTTTTGACTTTATGTAGTGACATTAGTTATGGTTATCTCTGTACTCTTTGCATGTGGTTTTTCATTCTCCTGATAATCTCTACTTCAAGCCCAGATGTGTTCGATTGGCTCGGTTTGAAAATGATCGAACAATATCCTTCATACCTCCGGATGGATCTTTTGATCTCATGACCTACAGACTGAGTACTCAGGTCTGCTATTTGTGGCCTTGTGTTTTGAATGCCTTATTGTATTCGATCTTATAGATATGTGAATGTCTACATATTGTAAATTTTTATTCCCGTCGCCCCACAACTTTCTTCCCACTTTCCTTTTTGGGATGCTCCAAAATGTTATTTTATCTCCTTTTAAGGAAAGAATTGCGTGGTTACTATTGTTTCTATCTTGTTAACACTTTACATCAATGGCAACTATGCAATTATAATTTTCTTAATAAGTGTGAGAACTGAGATAGTGGGGATTTTTTTTGGGACGGAGGGAGTAAGTATTGGAAGTGTTAAAGTTATCTTGTTGTTCTTCTGCCACCAGGTCAAGCCTTTGATATGGGTAGAAGCTCAAGTGGAAAGGCACTCTAGGAGCCGCATAGAATTTATGGTGAAAGCGCGGAGCCAATTTAAAGAGCGTAGGTATATGCTCATGAATGTACTATTAGTATTGGATGCACATAGCCACATTTTTAATAGAAGAGTTTGACAACATCATATTCTTTGCATCTAGATGTGCTTATTTGTAGCAAATAAATACCTGGTTCAGTAACAAGATATTTCGGGGTATTTTCAGCACTGCAACAAATGTTGAAATTGAGCTACCTGTACCAATTGATGCTACTAATCCTAATGTCCGCACCTCCATGGGGTCATCTACTTATGCTCCTGAAAGGGACGCATTGATTTGGAAAATAAAATCTTTTCCAGGTGGTAAGGTAAGAATAACCATTGATTAGCTTCTTCTATTTCAATTTTCATCTGTCCATTGCTTAGTTCGTTAAAAGATCCTTTGTTTTATTCTTAGGAATATATGCTGAGAGCAGAGTTTCGCCTTCCTAGTATTACCTCTGAGGAAGCAGCCCCAGAAAGAAAAGCTCCTATCAGAGTGAAGTTTGAAATACCATATTTTACTGTTTCAGGAATACAGGCAAGCCCTTCATTCTATCATTTATATAGTTAGGTTTATAAAATTTATAGGTAAAAAGGTTTTTTTTTATTAAAAGGGGACTGTTTTTATAGTATATTGCATGTCTATCAAGCACATGTGCTTGTACAGGTTTGGGAACTGGCATTCTCTAAACACACTGACGCACACAAATACACATTAAGTATTAGACACACACACACACATTCTTCCAATGAGGATGTTTGCAACTTCTTTCTCCCTCTCCTCTTTGTTGGTTTGTCTCATGTTCAATTTGCTGTTTTGAACTCAAATAGCTTTACTTTATCCTCTTTTGATTTGACTTTTCCACGATTTTCACATCCTTTTTTTTATTAAAGTCAATCACCTCTTGCAGGGTAAAACCAGAATGTTGACCAAATACCGTTTGTTTCCTTAATGCGTGTAAAAACCAATTGGGACATATGTTTTGGGATGGGAGTACTTATTATGCAACCATTGTGGGTGTAGTCTCACCGTCAAATAATCCAACAGCTTAGCTGATTTGATCTTGCAACCGTTGTGTGTGTATGCAGAGTCTCACTCGTTGTCTTTCTTAAACACGTCCCCATTTGGGAAGAGCCGCATTTTAGGGGTGTTCAACACACGTACTTCACTTTTATAGAAGTATCAGTGCTGTAAATATGTAGTCTCTTTGGTTTATATCCTGTAGTGGGAAACAAACAAAACAAGAATCTATTGAGTACAGAAATGATGTTCCTCTAGTGGTTAGGAGCACGGAGATCTATTCCATGCTTTATTTAATGCTCGCAGTTTGCAGTCCATTATAAACTTGATATATTATGGCCTTCCCCCGAGAACTTATGTACTTTTGGGATCCTGCAGGTTCGGTACTTAAAGATCATTGAAAAGAGTGGTTACCAGGCTCTTCCTTGGGTGAGGTATATCACTATGGCAGGTGAATACGAGTTGAGACTTGTGTAAAAGTTTTTTTTTGTTTTGTTTTGTTTTGTTTTTTGTTATAATCACGTTACCTGCCTACTACTAAAGAATTGCCATAGACAATTTCAATGGCTGTGTAACGGGGCTTAATGATGTCATTCACGTTCTGTTCACTTCCTTGTTTTCCCAGTGCGGTACCATGAAATGGCCAGGGTCATGTTTGCTTGACTATCTGTTGTAGCTTAGCTTTGTTTGATTAGAAAATCCAGAATGATATATATTGAATTGGAGGGAAGTTGAATGATGTGGTTTCATATATTGTTATTATTATTTGGATTTATTTTTACTACCTAATATAGAGCAAAGGCTACACTCTTAAAACTTAAAAGTAGGTGTGCAAATAAAGTCGATAAAAGAATACTTCATACAGAGTATTTTTTCAACAAAATTTGCAATCTATATAATTCAGAATATGGTTGTACGTTACTTAGGCATGGCCTGGGTCCGGTTTGACCGGCCCGGGAACCGGCACCGCCCTCCACTGTGCGGGACCAGACTGGACCAGACCGGTGAACCAGTTCCGGTACCGGGCCCGAACCGGGGGAATAAGGGGGTGGGTCCGGGGTTACATAATTAGGGATCGGCCCCAGTTTTTTTTTTTGTTTTTTTTTTTTTTTTGTTTTTTGGGTTTGGGTTTAGGTGGGCTGGGCTGGGTGATTCGAGGAGTTTGGGGGGTGGGGGGTTGGAATAAATAAGAAAACCCCAAAAGAAAAAAAAATTAAACCAAACCGGCCCGAATCGGAAACGAATCGTGCTCAGTCCACCCCTAACGTTACTACAGTCTACATTAATTCAGTTTGAAACACGACAGCGAAAAACTGCATAGTTCAGCGCTTATTAATGAGAGAGTTCCTTCTCATGATATATCATGTGTAAAAGATGGAACCATGAAAGTAATAGCAAGGCATAGTGTTGGACTCGGGCCGGGTCGGGCCTAGGCCCGGTCGGGCCTTTGAGGGTTGGGATGAAGGCTCGGGACCGGTCCGAGTTAGCACCGGGTTCGGGCCGGGTTTGTTATTTTTTTTCTTTTCTAATTAACCCTGACCCCCCACCCCCAAACCCCCTCCAAAACACTCAGTCCAACTCGGGAAAAAGCCCCAAAAAATGAAAAAAAATACCTGAATTGGGCCCATGACCGGCCGGGCCGGGTCACCATTTCCTACACCCGAGCCCGCTCCCGCTAAACCCACCGGGTCAGGTCGAAGCCCGGTACCAGAACCGAAGGATCGGGCCGGTTCACAAGCCGGGCTGCCCAACCCGAGTCCATGACTAACAAGGCATGACACGTTATTTCTGAGGGTCCTCAGAATCGATCGGACAGTTATCTGTAAGTCTGTAACGATTGTGAGGATGTAAATTGAGCTTTACTCACATTTTAATGAAAAAGGAATGATGTTTATACCAAGTCATTGTTTAAAGTTGAACCCGAGATCTCTCCCTTGTGGAAGTATGGAAGAAAAGTGTGTAGTAGTGGTGATGGAGTATATGGCCCAGGAACCCCCGGCCCATAGACTCCTACGTCTCCTACACAAGTCCATAGGGCCCAGAGAACAACTCAGGCCCAAGTGTAACGGCCCAAACCTCGAAATAGCTCAGAATACACACTGGGATGCCTTCGGCCTCCTTGGCCGAAGGCTCCAGAACTCACAGGATAGCCTTTTTGGCATAAGAAGCTGCTGGGAGAAAACGGGCGAAAACATGAGCCTTCGGCATTTTCATGCCCTCGGCATCAGAAAAGCCTTCGGCTGAACCAAGCCTTCGGCCACACGGGGCCTTCGGCCACACAAGGGTCCTTACCACATGGAGCCCTCGGCTACACAAGGAGCCCTCGGCTACACAAGGAGCCTTCGGCTGAACTAGTTCAATCATCGAAGATTCCTTTTGGAGACAGCCAACCACCGCATTTAATACCACGTCACATCCGCCAACCGCATTCAATGCGGTAAACGTACCACTGCCGGTGCCAACTGGCTGATGTGACCCTTCGGCCGTTGGATTAATGACACGTGTACTCTCATCGCATTTATTACTGCTATAAATAGCAGCCCTTATTCTCCTTGTAAACCACGCTGAGTTCATTTAATAAAATCGACTCTCTCTCCTCCTATTTACTCTGACTTTTCTCTAGTTATTCCCGCAATAACCCCTCGGATAAGATACCCCCCGGGTAGACTATCCATCAAGTGGAGTAAGAAATATTGTATAAGGTGGGAGTTTCATCTAGATGGCTCTTTGTGTACATCCGATCTTCAACCGCTTTATTCAAAAACTGTTTGAGACCATATCATAATTTATTGCATTATCATCCTGTTGGGTTGGTGTGTGCGGACACCTGTGTTTAGTCATGGACCGGGTTCTGGCCCAGGCCGGTCCCAAACCGGGATTTTTAATATTGGGTGAAGGCCCGGAACCGGCCCGGGTTTCCACCGGGTCCAGGCCGGGCCGGTCCAGGCCGGCTTATATATATATATATATATATATATATATATATATATATATATATATATATATATATATATATATATATATATATATATATATATATATATATATATATATATATATATAGGGAGCGGTTCCGGTAAGAACATATCTTAGGAGAAAAATGAGAACGAATCTGGACCGTTGGATTGTATTATGTGGAACCAAATTGTGCATTTGGTGAAACTAAAATGTGCATTAAATGATATTGAAATGTGCAAAATAAAAATTTAAACTCAAGTGTGCATTAGATTAAACTGATATGTGCGAAAACAAAGTGCAAAAATAACATCACATCGTACTTTTTATTCTGCACATTGCAGCTTCACCTAGTGCACATTTCAATTTCACGTAATGCACAATTCAACTGCACATAATGTCACTCTATCGTACCCTTTGTGATGCACATTTCAATTTCACCTAATGCACATTACAGTTTTATCTAATGCACACTGAATTTCACTTGAAGCAAATCTAACGGTCCAGATTCGTTCTCATTTCTCTCATAAGATCGTGTTCTTATTTGAACCAAAACCTATATATATATATACATACATATATATATATATATATATATATATATATATATATATATATATAAACACACACACACACACACAAATCTATGTGAAAGAATATAAATCACTAACTTCTCGTGATGACTTTTGGGTTTATCTTTTTTATCTCCGATAACTCGATAATTTCCACACGCGCAAATTCCACTTTTGATAGGCCCAAATATTCTTTCACAAAATAATCCATCTTTTTCTGGTTTATTTGTTTTATAAAGAAAAGTATAAGGTTTTGTTACCTCGCCAACTATTTCACCATTTGGCAAAAGTTTACTGGCCCAAGCACTTATTTGTTGAGGAGAAACCAATCCAACTCGCAGCTGTTGATGTTTATATCGATCAATCATAAAATAAAAATTTTTATTAGTTCGGATTAGATTAAGCTTCCTTCCTATGAATCTGGAAGTTTTTTTCAGATACCAGGATATAATTCAGTTCCAGAGCTAAAGATCGTAGTTCTCGAACGAGCAATCTAAATGATTCTGGAGCATTTTTTGTATGAGGTATTGTACCTCCAATAATCGTAGTACCAAGTACTTGCTGACGAGCTCTAATATGATCCGATTTATAAGTAAGCATCTCTTGTAAAATATGAGCAACCCCAAATCCTTCGAGAGCCCAAACCTCCATTTCCCCTACCCGTTGCCCCCCCTGTTTCGCTCTTCCTCTAAGGGGTTGTTGTGTAACAAGCGCATAATGTCCACTGGAACGCCCATGCAGTTTATCATCAACTTGATGAAGTAATTTTAAGATATAAGCGTTACCTATTAGGATAGGTTGTTCAAAAGTATTACCCGTTCTTCCATCAAATATTCTACTTTTTCCTGGGTATTCGGGTTCAAATGCCCATGGATGCGCTGTTTTTTTACTGGCTTCATGTAATTGAGAAAATACTATTTTTCTCGAAGCTTCTTGTTCGTATCTCTCATCAAAAGGTGCGATTCTATAATGTCTATCTAGCAAACTCCCTGCTAGCCCCAGTGAACATTCAAAAATCTGTCCTACATTCATTCTTGAAGGTACTCCTAATGGGTTAAATACCAGATCAATCGCTCTTCCATCTTGTAAATAGGGCATATCTTGTTTAGGCAAAAATTTTGAAATGATACCTTTATTTCCGTGCCTTCCAGCTACTTTATCGCCCACTTTTATTTCACGTTTCTGTAAAACATATACCTGAATCTTTTCCAGATTAGAATTGTAAAGCCCTTTCTTCTGTATCCACCTTACATCAATAACCCGACCCATCCCACCTATAGGGACTTTGAGACAAGTTTCTTTTGACGTAGATACCTGAATACCAAGTATGGCTCGTAATAATCTATCTTCCGGTGCATACGACGATTCTTTCACCACGTGAGGTGTTAATTTACCTACTAAAACATCCCCTGGCTGTACCCAAGATCCCTGCATTATAATTCCATTTATATCTAAATTGCGAATTAAATGGGCTTCTAAATGAGGTATCTCTTTAGTGACTTGTTCAGGACCTTGGCTTGTCACATGAGTTTTAATTTCAAATTTCCTTATGTGCAAAGAAGTATAAATCTCTTCATATATCAAGCGTTCGCTAATGAGGACTGCATCCTCAAAATTATAACCCTCCCATGGCATATAAGCTACCAATAAAGTTTTTCCGAGAGCAAGTTCGCCTTCAACCGTAGCAGCACCTTCCGCTAAAACTTGTCCCTTTTTAATAAATTGCCCCGGTTCAACCTGAGGTTTTTGATGCATACACGTATTTTTGTTTGAACGTTGATACACAACTAATGGAATGCTTAGAATCTTTCCAAGGCCAGAGACCGATACAAATATATTGTCAGTATCTGTATAAACAACCTTTCCCATGTGGGCGGCTAGAACAAGAGACCCTGAATCGAGAGCTGCGTGGTGTTCTATCCCTGTTCCAACAATGCATTTCTCGGATCGAGCAAGGGGAACTGCTTGCCGTTGCATATTAGAACTCATTAAGGCTCGATTCGCATCATTATGTTCGATAAAAGGAATGAGGGAAGCTCCAATAGAAAAATATTGGAAGGAAAAAATACTTCGAAGATGAACTTGCTCCCATGCAATAGTAAGGAATTCTTGACAGTATCTAGCTGGAACAACCTGATCTTCTTGAATATTCTGATTCAAGGCCAAAGAATTTCCTGTCGCTACCATATAGTATTCATCTCTACCCGGTGATAAGTAAACCATCCGTACCTTTGTTGATCGCTCAGAAATTTCAAAAAGTGG